TTTTTTTTTTTATTATTTATTATTTAAAGTAGTGAAATTGAATTAGAGAATGGTTATACTCGGGCCAATGATCTCGATCCAAAATAATTCACATGCTCCCATTACAACGTTTCATCAGCTGTTGGCGCGGAGTTTGCAATCGTCTTTCGTTGACGCGCGCGAACGTTCGCAATGAATATAGTTAGTTATCGGGGTGCAAGGAACTTTCAACGATTATCCGAATGAAACATACATTTTTAATTAAATGTTAACATAATATTTTCCAAAGTTTAAAATACCCCCTCAAAAATAGTTTATCAAAATTATATTTAATTGCAAAAATGAATTACATATATTTCAAAAAATATTTCATTACTGAAGTAGTGTGTTATTCAATTTTTACAATTTTTTGAGGATTTACAACATAGAAAAGTAAATAAAAAAAATTATTGTTTATTCCACAAGTATAGAATGTAGTATGTACTATATTTTATTTCTTATTGACAATCTTTTCTAAAAAAAAATCAAACTTTATTTGGAAATTTTTTTTAATTATAATTTTTAAATTTCCAGAATTTGAGAAATTATTTATAATTTTATTTGATGCGTACTTCTAAAAGAAATTTCTTTCTACTCCCTTTTTTTTAAAAAAAAAAAAAGCTTTTAAAAAAGACACCTTTTTTTATATAACTTTATTTGTAAATTTTTGGTGAATGACATTTTTTAGTATTAAAGTGCTGTTGTGGAATTCGTAAATAATTTCTTGAAATAATGCCAAAAGGCATTTGGTAAAAACACAGAAAAACTTTTATTATCCACATTCTGGTTAAATTAACATATAGCCACAACAAAATTTAAATAATACGTATTTTCCCAAAAGTGACATACGATTATTATAATTTTTTCACCATTTACGTCACTGTTTATAAAAATTATTATAATATATAAAATTAAAATATTTTATTATAATATTTATATTTTTAATCATTTCTATTATAAATTATTTAATTTATACTCTATATATATTTAAAAAATAATTATTTATAATACAAGTGAGTAAAGTAAAGCAGAAAAATAGTGTTAAAAAAAAAAAAAAAAATACCCGGAGGGTACATTGTTAATTTATAGTGGTGTTTGTAATTCAGAATGCGTGCAAGTGACAATGATCTTGACCCCTGCGACTATACATATACGAGAGTCGAGACTAGTGGTCAGCGATAAAATATAGGGGGTGGGGGGCTTTTGTAGAAAGTGATATACGTCGTTATTAATAATAATAGTGCACCGATTATATATTACATCTATTGGACGGATCACAATAAATGTTACATTTTGCGTGACATAAAATTTAAAACACTGACAATAATAATAATATAAATAAAATATAAAAATTAATAAATAAAAAAATTTTTCCTTGTTTTCTTTTTTCTGACATAATTTATGAGAATTCTCTTAAATCTTAAATATATTTAAATTTTGTAAAGAATTTTTCGAAATGAAAATTAGATTTGAATATAATTTTTTATTACTTTTTTTTATTATTATTTATTAATTTTTATTTAATTATATAATTTATTTTTACTAAAAAATGATTAAAACATAATATGAACAAAATTGTTAAGTAATAGAAATTTTTAGATTTTTAATTATAAACTTAGTTTGAAATTTAATTATAAAAATTAAAATGTCTATAAATTTAATATATTATAATAAAAATTATATATTAAGTAATAAATGTAGATAAGATAAGATTTATCTTTCTTGATGCTACAAATAATCATGTTTTACATCTTGATAATAAAAAATATTATTATTATTGTTGTTGTTGTATTACAATAATTTAATATAATATGAGTATGTATAATATTCATAAAATGTAATGCGAACCAAATTTGATCTCCACTTCTAGATATTAATGTGGAGTGCATAAATTTTATTCTCATTGTAAAAATTATTACGTAAATTGAAGAAGCGTTTGACATTGGTAATAATCATCGAATTACATTTTCAACGCAATAATCGTACTTCTACAAATCGGTCTGTCCATTCGACCGTACGACTCGTCTGAATGATTCAGTCATAGTTCGTGACAAGTACAGATCGTTGAGAAAAGAAAATTGTTTAAAATAAATATTGTGCACTTGAAAAAAAGAAAAATTTATTAATCTAAAAAAAAATGAAAAGGAACAAGGACATAGTTCAATTATTTATTTTTTATATTTTTTTATTATAAAATTTTTCAACTTTGATTACTATTTAAGGATCTAAACAGGTATTTAATTATTTTAATTTCTAATTTTATTTGGTTTATTACAGAAAATGGTTTCTACAATTTTATCAAATTTTAAGTAAAAAAATGAAAGAGATATGTTTATAGATTTTAAAGATTAAATATAATTCGAGAGATTTGCAGTTTCTTTTTTTTTTTTTTTTTATTTTTTAGTATAAAATATATCAAATCCATTTTTCTTTGTTTGGTTTTGATAATGGCAAATCAAATAAAAGTTATGTATTTTCTCTTAAGTTCAACAGAGATTTGTTTAACCCATTTAAATTTTATACAATTTAAAATGTCAACAAATTTTGCTCTTTGCATTTTTTTTAAATATATTTTTTGTGTTTTTCTGTTTTGTTTTAATTATAATTTTGTCTTATATATACAAGAAAAAAATTGTAATTAAAACAAAACAGAAAAAGACAAAAAATTATGTGTTTTTATTATTATTAGTATTATGTTTGAAAATTGAACTTGATTTTTAAAACAGATTGTAAATGAATATGTAAGAATTTAATTATGATTTATATATGTCATAGTTTTTGTAACTCAAAATGTAAGCCTTGAGCTCTCTAAATTTAAATCAGTCAAGTTTCATTGATGAAAAAACATTAAAACTGGGTCACTGAATCACTACAGAAACCTCTTTTTTTCACTGAAATTCAGTGCATTCTTTTTTTTTATAAAACCAATATTATTTATTAAATAAATATTTATTGAATTAAAATTAATTGTTTAGAGAATTAAAGATGAATAGTTTACTTTTTTTGTACTCCTTTAGGAATAAAAAGAGTATAAAAAATTGTTAATATCTTAAAATTGAAGTACAGTAAGAAGTGTTTTAGTTAAAATTTTATTCTTTGTTAGTGAAATTTTACTAGTTCTAAATATGTCGGTGAAGTTTACAATATCAACGATTAAAAATAAAAAAAAAAAAAGATTTTCATGTGGAAAATAATAAAATTTTTTACTTAAACATTTTTCTTTGAATTTGTTCGAGAAACGTTGCAAAAAAATTTTCAGACAAATAATTATAATAATTTCTATTGAAAAATATTTTTTCCACTAAATCGTTGATCTAAACGTTATAAACTTCACCAACAATTTTTAATGTTCAATAAAAAATTATTGCTTTCTATTTTCTAATTAATTTTTAATTGAAATTTATTTAATTTTATTATAATTATTAATTGACACTCGTGCAAAGTTTATTGAAAAAATTTCAGTGGCTCAGTTTCAGTTAATAGAAATTTTACTGATTAAAAATTTAAACAATTTGTTTATCAGTTGAAATATATAAATTTTATTATATGCTTATAAGCATTACCACATGTGAACTTTCTGCCAATAACATATAAGTATAAAACGTTCTCGTTTCTAATATGGTTGGTCCAGGTCCGCAGATGAATGCGAGGGGCAAAAATCTGTATGCGAAAATAGAGTCACACTATGCAGCTCCTTTGCCTCATCTCACACTGATGTGGACATACACAACTTTTGTTACTTCGTTGGCTCAGAACGCTTTTAGTATTTAACTGAAAGTTACCGCGAATAGAACACACATAGTTGGCCTGCGCATATGGCTTATACAAAAATAATAATTGCCAAACTGATCCATTTTTCCTCTGAATCATCACTTTGAGAAGTGTTCACCACGTGAAAGAGTTCACATCACGCACAAAAGAACAAAAGTCGAGAGAGTATAAATTCTGTGAAAACGTGTATATTTATATTTAACAAAAAAAAAAATGTTTCTTTTGTGTTCACATTACATTACTTAAATTTTCAATTTTGACAAAAATTTACAATAGATTTATTGGAGAAAAATAATTTTCATCTAGAAAGAAAATAAAATCTAAAAATTGTGAAATTGAAATTTAAAAAAATTAAAATTTGTAAAGAACAAAAAAATATAATTATTAGTGATTACCGTTTTTGAAAATATTTTCTACTATCATTACTTGGAAGTGTTATGACAAGAGAAAAAATTTGGATTTGCAATTATATTATTTATATATTTTTTTAAATATTTTATTTAAAAGAATAGAGTCAAAATTCCTTTGGTAATTTTTTTTTATGATTTTTCCAAAAATAATTTCTATTGTTTTTTTTTAAATGTTACAATCTTCAAACTCCATTTTTTAATTGAAAAAAAGTTTAAACTAACCTAGTAGATTATAATCTACTGATAAAAAAAAAAAATTTTTCCTTTTTCCCATCAGTGATATAATTGGAAATTTTTCTTGCAGCCAAAAGAGGCAAAAAGTCAAGATTAATTATGCCAAGAAAATCCTCATTTGGAATAATGTTGCTAGACTTATGTCAAACCACCTGAATAGGACATTGAATGCTCTCATTGAGTGGGGGATAGAAAAAAAAAACAACGTAGAATTAGCAATCTCCTAATGATTCAGAATTGGAAATAGAGATTAATCGCATAAATGATGACTGAAGTAGTCGGAGATGGTTGTTTGAAGATTGATGTTTGTACGATGGAATGTTGCAACTATCGTCGTCAACGTCGTCAGAAAGTTGATCTTGATGATGACGATGAACTGATGATCACTGTCGCTCAAAGAATGAGCTTCTCGCGTATTTTTATTCGACATTCGATGGCCTGGGTACACAATTCATTAGAAAAATTGCCAATCAGATTAACTATCAAAAATCTTGGAATAATGGCATTGATATTGGCAATATTGATGCCACGTGCTTTTACTTATATCCTTGTATATCCGATTTTCAGATTGGTCTTTGGTACACTCTATCCGGCATATGCGTCTTATAAAGCAGTTCGAACGAAAAACGTCAAGGAATACGTGAGTAATATTTTTTTTTTATTTATTATTCATTAGGGAATTTTCTATTTTACTCTTAATTTATTTTATTTTTTATCAATTTTTTTCTCTTTTGACAATAATTTTTTTTTTACAAATTACATTTTTGTGTAAAAATATTATTTTAATGTGTTTTTTTTTATAGGTAAAATGGATGATGTATTGGATTGTATTTGCACTTTTCACGTGTGCCGAAACTTTCACAGATGTATTTTTTAGTTTTTGGTAAGTTTAGAAATATATAATATTTTTTTATACAAAAAAAAAAGGTTTGTAACATTTTTTGATAAAAAATGTTTAAAAGAAAAAAAATTGTAGGCAAAAAATTAATTAGTATTTTTCAAATGAAAAATATTTTTCTTTCAATCGTTGATCATAAATTTCACCGAGGTATAGAAATTTTGAAGTTTAGTTCCAATTAAATGTTTTTTTTTTTTAATAATTTTGATAAATATTACAACAAAATTTAGGTAAATTGTTTTTTAAAATTATAAAATGTAGAACTCGCTGTAATCAAATTGATAAACGATCGATAATCGTAATGATATTAAAAATTTGTAGTAATTTTTATTATATTTCAAGAAAAGCTTCAAAAATTTTTTTTTCAAATTAAAAGATGGAATATTAAATTCGAATATTTTAGATAGAAGAAAACTATTTAATAATTATTTTCTTACTCATTAAATATCTATAATTAGAAATTTACAAAAAAAAAAGTATATTTGTATAATGTAAGAATATTTGGAAATTTATGAAATAGAAAAACAGTTAATAACAAGTTGTTGGTAGAGATTCGAAAATTCTAATTTTGTACAAGATACATATTAGCTTACAAGGCGCTTCTGGGGATTCCTTTGCATGCCCTGTCTGCTTTCGCTTTTTGCTCCCCTGTTTTGTTTTGTCAAGAAATATCACCTGCTCAAATTACACCGTGAGGGAAAAACCCTTCACGTAATTTATACCGAGACTTTTGGAATTCTGTGGATATGAAAAATTTTTAATAATTTATTTTTTGACATTTTTTAATTGATACTTTTTTTTTGTATTATTTATATTAAAATTAATTTTCAATTTCTATTTTATAATTCTTTTTAAATATATTTTTAATTATAATTTTTATTTATTTAATTTTTCTTTTCTACTTTAAGGTTTCCATTTTACTATGAGATTAAGATTGTTTTGGTACTTTGGCTGCTGAGTCCTGCGACAAAAGGCTCGAGCATTCTTTATCGTCGATTCGTTCATCCAGCATTAAGTCGCCGTGAGGCAGAAATTGATGAAGCTCTTGCTCGTGCCACTGAACAGGGTTACACGGCTGTTTTGCATTTAGGAAGCAAAGGTGTTAACTATGCAACCACTGTTCTTATGCAAACAGCGATAAAGGTAATTTTTCCTATATACATTTTTTCATAACACGTTATTTTACATTCAAAATTATTAACAAAAGCACGTTTTTATTTTAATTCTTTAATTTAATTTATTTTCCAAATTTATCTTTCGTTAATATAATTCGAATATAGTATTTATAAATAATTTAATTATTTATGAATAATTATTAATAAGCAATATTTTTGCTTGAAATTAATTTGTTTGCGTTTCTTTTTTGATTTTATTTTCTTGCACTGACAACACGATCCTTTTTGCTAATGAACCTGCAACACGCCGTCATTGCGTTACTAAAAACAATATTAAAAAAAAAACGAATGCAACGTCATATCTAACCATCGTCATCAAAACTTAATCTTCGTGTGGAATTTTGTCTCATTAATTGACATGTGAATAGACTTTGCCGAATGTCTCTCCAAATGCTATTAAGAATATCCTCCCTGCAAGCCATTCAGAATCGGCGCTTTCTAGCTTAGCCAGCCCTACGGGATCACCAACGCTAAAGGAGTCAACGAAAGATTCCCCCGACGGTGTACGCGTACGTCGACGACGAATTAAAAGCGATAATGATGCTGTGGTCAAGGAAATTTCATCAAACACTGATTTTTCCACGGACGAGGATTTTGAAATGAAACTTGAAAATGTGGATAATGATGGTGATGATGATGCTGTATTCAAGGATCCCGATTTTAAAGTTCCCGGTAAAAGGACACGTAAAACAAAAAAAGAACGTGGACGATCAACATCGAGGAAACGACGTACCAGATCGACAAAAGATGATAGAAGTGATATTGATCTTAGCGATATTGTCAATTCTAATTAATTAACGAATCCAATTTACTTGTCCACTTACAAATGCAAGTTGTTTGGATTTCGTTAAAATGAAATTTTTCTTGGTCATGATATTATATGACTTAGAGTTTCTAAATTCCAAGCAATATTTACACGCACAAACAAAATATAAGAAAAGAAAATTGATCTCATTTTAGATCAAAAATATTTTATCACACAATTTTTGAATTTTTCTTTATTTATTTTTTTAAATTTGCCAAAAATTCAAGTTTTTTTTCTTCTTCAATTTAGTTGAATTTAAATTTTTAGTAAATTTAAATTAAAGTAATGTAATTATAATTTTTGTGTCTTTAGATTATTTTAAGTATATTTATCTAACGACCAATTGGAATAATTTTCTTTTCAAGATTCTTGTTCTCATCATGAATGAGATAAAAGAAAAAATTATAAATAATTATCTATATGTGATAGTAAAAATTTCGGTTAAATTGTAAAGTTTGTTATAATAATTAATCCCTAAGATAAATGGGATATAAGAATTAATTTGATACATGAAAATCAAGTAATCATTTCACGACTCTAAAAATTGTTTTTAGTTCTTTGAAATATTTACTTTTTTTTAGAATTTATACTTTTTTTTTAGAAAAATAACTTTATCAGAGTCATTATTGAAAGATTACTTTCTGATTTATCGTATACTTTATGTAAAAGAAAAAAATACCAATTAATCAAATCAAAAATTAATTTATAGATTTGCAGGCTCAAATTCAAACAAAGAGAAATTTAAAGTATTTACTTTATGATTTTTTGAGAGTGCATATAGAAAGACTGATATTAACGAGTGAACTGAATTTATTTTAAAACATTCCCTCGAAAAATTTACATATTATTTGGATTTATTTGTAGTTAAATTTTCTAAATTAATTTTTTTGTTTAAATCATATTTCTATTTCAGATCCAGAAAAAAACAATCAATTGAAAATTGATTGATTTAGATTCAAAGTTTAGTTATTTTATTTTACTAAAATTCGTAGAACAAAGTTCTTTGCGAGCAAATACTTTTATCTGAATTTTTTACATTTGGAAAAAAAATTGAAAATTATGATCACGAATGTTTCAAAATAAATTAAGTTTTGCGTTTCATACCACTTACCGGTCACAATTATTTTTTATTCATTATTATTATTATTATTATTATTATTATTATTATTATTATATTATTATTAATATTATTATTGTTGGCGAAATAATCTTTCTTGATTCTAATTAAATTACGGGAATCATACGAAAATATGTTATATATTTCATATTTATTCTATTGGCGCTTTATTTAATTATATATAATTATATGAAATGGAATTTATTAAAGAATTATTGTACATTTTTGTTTACGGGAGCACTGATTGAAGAATATTTTTGGCCTTATTTAAATTTTTAGCGACAATTGTTCACGTGCTTATATATTTTCCTTTTTTTCCTCGTGTCTATTTCCAAATTAATTCGGTATTTAAAGACGAATTAGACAAAAGTAACAAGTGCCATTTTTGTGCCTTTTTGCAATACCATACGTCTTTTAATGTCTCTTAAGTCCTTTACTTTAAAAAGAATCGCTTATTGTCGCTATTTTTCGCGTATATTTGTATAAAGCGTTTCTTTTTATGAATATTAACTGGTCATCATTTAGTTTTTAAGAAGTTTTTATACCTGATCCCAAAGATCTTGAGAAATACGAGTGTTTTCTTTTTTTTGTGAATAAATGCATTTACATAATTAAGTTCATATTGCTTCATTTTCATTTATAACTTGTTTTTATTAAATATGAGTAAATTTCCAATTTATTAAATTTTCATTCGCAGCTTATTAATTTTAATCTTTTTTTTTTTAAAGTAGGATATTAAAATATAATCAGATTAATATTTATCTTACACAAGTGCACACGCTTTATATTAAAAAAAATTTTTTTTTGATTCAGAATTATTATTAATTTTCACAAGTAAATTTTGGAAGTTAAAAATATTATTTTATGTGCACTTTTTGAGTAAGATCCTTCGCTCTGGTGACGGCAGATAATATATTAACATTTTTTTGTTGGTAAGGCTTTTTTATTTTGTTTCTTCTTTTTTTTTTTTAATTGTGATACTGATGATGTGTTTGGTTTAAAGAAAATTATATTGCAGGGAGGAGGCGGTCTTGTTCAACAATTGAAAAAAAGTTACAGTCTCAGCGATTTATCGGGAGAGAAGGAAGATGAGAACAGGAACACGCCCAATTCTCATGACGAGACTGACATGGAAGGTGAGTGTATTTTTAAATTTATAAAAATCTCTTTAATTGGCTCTTTATTTTAGCATTTTAATCGATTAATCAATTATAAAAGAAAAATGTTATTTTTAATTTATAAATATTTTAAGTATAATTTTATATTTTCTTGTTTAAAAAAACAGATTTTTTTCTATAAAATAATAATAATAAATAATATTATGTATCTAATAAGGGATAAAACTAATAATAATTATTTTGATTTTCAGTTGAACCTCGTCGAAGAGAACACACAGGGAGGAGAGGATACAGTCCTAGAAGAACTCAATCTACTAATAACAGAGTAGAAATGTACTTCTCTGAAGTAGATGTTGAAGTAAGGCAACCAAGGTCAAAGGAGCCTTTAGTTAGTTTAAAGTAAGAAAACATTTTCTTTAGCCTTTAAAGCCTAATTTTAATTTTGTAAAACATACATTATTACAAAAAAATTATTACAAAATAGTATTCTAATTTAAAATAAATATTTAACATAGTTAAAAATTAAATTTAATAATTATTATTAAAATAAATTATAATTAATACTAACAATATTATGCAAAAAAAAAAATAATTATACAGTACTTAAATATTTTATTTAAAAATTTTGATGAATTTATTTTAAAAAGTACAAAAAGAAAAATTTAATAATACTGAATTTTCTTTTTTTATTTTCAGTAATATTAGGTCATCTGAAGACATATCTAGTGGATACAGCAGTGGCGAAGCTTTACACAATCACCGTCCATCAATTCATAGTGACTCTCTTGTGAGGACGTCAAGTGTGGGAGGCCGAACGCGATTAAAACCACGTTCAACCACAAAAAAGGCTCCAGAAGTAAGTAAAAAAAAAAGAAAAATTGTTTCTTTTCCAAGTATTATACTATTTTTTGCAATAGCATTCTTTTAAAATAAGCGATTGTCACGTTTGAAGGTAGAAGAAGAGGATTCTGACAACAGTCTTCCGTTTCCAGATCAACAATATCCCCTACCTGATCCTTTAAAATTCCTCACTGTGGAACAAGCACTCGATCTTGTTTCACTCCTATCTTATCATTTGGCGCGCAATAATTGCAATGAAAATGTTACCAATCTCGAAAATCTCTCAAATAACGATGAAAATTCTGAAAATCAAGTTCTACTTAATGAAAAGAATATAAAATCGGAACACGAAAATATTTCATCGATTTTAAAAGAAAATTCATTTTCAATTCCAAAAATAATAACGAGCATAGAAGATGAAATTTGTGAAAAAGAAAATCTAAATCATAACAAAAATTCAAATGCTGATGTGACTAAATTTACCGATGATATTTGTAGAGAAAAATTTGATGAATTAAAGAAACTTTTATCAAATGCACATAAAGCTGTTTCCAATATTGTTTTATCACAGGAAAATTTAGGTAGCGAAATTGATAACGATATGAATTTTTCTAGGAATTTCGTTAATAAAGCCAAAACAGAAAGTGATTTAACAGAAACTTATGGAAGCATCAGTTCCCTTGAAGTTTGGTCAACGCCCACAATATCGAGAAGTAATTCAGACAGTAAATTGCGAGCTGGGAAATATCATAAGAAACCGGCACCAAAAGTTCCGCCTTTTGATTGCATGAAAAATATCGACAACGACGATGATACAGAATCACAGAAAGCTTTAAAAGCAACTTTGGTTATTAAAACAGGTACCATTAAAAGTTTCACTGATTCCCAACAACAATTGAAAAGAAAAAAAACTATTAAATCTAAACCACGTGAAGGTTTCTCAAAACTTCTTACCGTTCCAAAGAATTTCTTTCATAATGCATTTCACAAGGATCATAATAAAGATAAATTAGTCAAATACGACGATTCTAGTTCGATAAATTCAGATTGCAGTGATTCTCCGTCAAGATCGTCGAGCATTGGTTCACAAAATACACCAACGGACGATGATACCCTTACGCCTTTAACGGAAATTGAAAATGTTGACAAGACTGATGAAAATAAAGATATAAATAATGAAATTAATTTACAAAATAAAAATGAACATAACAAGACTGATGAGAAATTAATTGATAAAAATTTAGTTTCCAGCGTGGAAGAAATTTCAAAAATCGAGAAAACTGAAAAAGAAGTGAAAAATATCGAAGATACTGAAAATACAAGTCAAATATTTAGAGCGAGATTGAGAATTCGAGAAATGTCACGATCACCAAATCGTTGCTCGAGAAAAAGTTATTCTGAAGAATAGTTTCTTTTTGGAGAAAATAAAGAAACATACATATATATATTTTTTTTCATTCGTGCCTCTCCTCCTGTTCTTATTGAAATCCCTTTTTTTTAAGTATCTCATCGACTTCTGCCATTGAAAAAGGATTTTTCTGTCTAAACAGTATGAAACGTTTTTTGTTTTTATTTTACTAATGTGTTCCACTGCAGTACATCTAACGCAGAGTGTGCTGACTCATTAAAAAAGATTTAATTAAATTTAATATTAATATATTATATTTATCTATTGTTTTATTTATTATATATAAATGTATCTAATATATTAATATTAGATTAGTATTTAATGTATTAATATTTTGAAACAAAAATTTATTATTAATCATTTTAATTATACGTTACATTAATTATATCCATTGTAGGTTATAGGATATCTGATAATATTAATGTTTTGTCCTTGCTTAAAATTTTAGAACATGTTATATTTTTTTGTTAAATGGAATTTTTTTTTATAAACTATCACGTAATTAATTTTTATCAACTTCTTATTAAATGTGTTCTTTATATTTAAAACTTATTTCGTAGAAAATTTAACAATTTTTAATTAAATCAATATTGATGAATATTGTTATTATTCAATATTAGTTTTGAAAAAAATTAAAAATTTAATTTTCCCCTAAAATTAATTCTCCACTCAATTTTTTTTTCAAATTTAATTTTTTTTTTTAAATAATTATTTAGTAATTTGCTAATAAGAAGAATTTATCATTATATTCTCACCTCTTGTTTCCTTCTAATTCTAACAGAATATTTAAATGAACAATCAAGTAGCTAATAAGTGCAGCTTTCAACAATGTGTGTTAAAAAGTTAACATTGTGATAAGAAAAAAAAAAGAGAAAAGAAAATATTTTCCCTGATTTTTCTAATTTTATGTTCGTTGAATTTTTCAGATAACAAATTTCGCCACTTTGCCACGAAGCAAAAAACCGACGAAAAAAAAGGTGTCATGAAGCTCAACAATTGTTGATTGCATGAAGAAATAGGACCAAAATTTTGGAAAATCCAAATGCTGACTTTGGTAACTGTATTATTCATGAGTCGTTGTAATTATTGATTGATTCTTTAATTGCAATTGACATGATTTCGATCAAAAGCAAGTATTAACGACAACTTAATTTCTATAGTGATTTGAATTTTATAAAATATGGAAAATCACAAAGCATAGAATCTGCGAATTTTGAACATAAATAAGTTTTAAAATATTGGACAGACCAGTGAATAAGCTTAAGGACTTAATGAAACAGAAATATCAGTTTTAGAAAAAAAAATTTTTATTTTATAAATTTTGATAAAATTATTTTTATTTTCTTAACAATTTATTTTAATTTATTAATAATATTAATTAAAATAATTGTATCTTAAAAAAATACTTGAAGATTTTATTTTTATTCGTTTAATTAATTACTGATTTAGTTTTTAAATTCTTTATTTTCTTTAATAACTTCTTTGATTAATATTCAAGAGAATTTTTTTTTTAATTCGATATTTCTTATTATGCTTATGATTAAAAAAAAAAGCCAGTGACCCAAAGAGTTGTCATCTACCTCTTTTGCAATTAGGTATTTTGCATCTTGCCTTCTGAGCCAATAAACCGAATTCTACTCTAAGCAATATTTGGAAAAAAAAAATTTAATAGAAGGCGAAACAAATATTTGATAAATTAAACAAAGAGAAATGAAAAAACTTTACATATAATTTCTTATATGTTTCACTATGCACTTACATTATATATATATACGCTTTGTTGCGATAATATTGCAATATTGTGAATAAATATTTTTCTTGTGATACTCAAAAATCACGCTAAATGAAAGCGTTGATTCGAATAAAGAACGACTGAAGTGGGATGCAGATTTTCTAGTCAGTCATTAAATTTAAAGAAACTCTAATTCAAAATAATATTGAAAATGGTATTTCATTTATTTGTTTTTTAAAAAAATTAATTATTTTACATAATTTAATTACAATTCTCTTAAATGCATAATAATAAATTTTTAAAAATTATGTTTCATTTTTAATAATCGAATTAAAAAAATCTAAACTAATTGATAATTAGGTAATTATTAAATTTTAATTAAATAATTAAATTAATTGAAAGTATCGAAAAAATTTGATTCTTCACTTATGAGTGAAATTATTCAAGGCACACATTTTCATTCTTTAATACTGCCGTCCAATGTAAAAAAGCCGTAAACAACAATGTTTTTATTGTTAATTATATACTTTTTTACTTTGGAAGGCAGAATATAGAGAGACTTATTGATTATTATTTTTCACGTTGAGTGATTATAGTATCGATTTTAACATTAATGAGTTAAAATATTGTCAATTTTAGAAAATAAGATTAATTTCTTATTTTCATTTTGTTTTGCGCCCATAACTTATAAATGTATATGCTTCACAAGAGATTTTGTACAACTTTTTTAAATTTATCAATAATGAACAATTTTTTAACTGAAAAAGTTGAAAATTTCATAATTGTTGAAACAAAATCTCTTGGTCACTACCAAATGGAAACAATACTGAGAGCAATACCATGAAAATTTTGCAATTTAAATTTTAATTTCTGAAAAATAAGTTTATTTTAACTTTCTTTTTCTTATTTAAGGACAAATATTGATTCATCTCACAATTTACTCAAAAAGTTGTAATTAATATTGAATTAATTAATTTAATGAAAAGTGTGCCTTTTATTTAGAATGAAGCACTAGGAACTGATTTGGCGCACAAGAAATCATTGATTTCCAGTGAGATTAATCAATGTTTTTTTTAATATTTACATATAATTTTGTGTTCTATAATATTGTAAATTTTAATTTTTGAAATTAAAATTTAATTTTGAAAATTAAATTTTCCACTTAAAAAATGATATTATCAGGAGAATTTTGAATAATTCTGGAATCAGAGTTAAAAAAAGATTTTGATGAAAACGTATACGCACAACTACGTTTACTGCGATTGGTTAAATAAATTATTTGTTTAAGAATGTTAACAAAATTATAGTCTATTGTTCGTCGTGTTGTAAACACTCGTTTGATATAAAAATGTTTAATAGGTATTCTGCTTAGAATATTTGATTTACTAAAAGAAAAAGAAAAATTAGAACAACAATTCAATATTCATTAATTTCGAGAAATTAAATCAAAAGAGGAATATAAAAAAACAAACAAAAATTAAATTATAAAAAAATAAAAAAAAAAGTTTAAAAATTGCATTGAAAAAAGTTACTCAAAAATTAATTTCGAAATGAAAAATTAGTTAATTTAATATTAGTACCTATTTAGTTTAATATTAATTTAAATTAATTTAATTATCGACATTTTAGTAAAAAGCTTTGTGGAAATTATTATTAAAAAATTTGCCGTTTCAAGAAATAAAAAACGATAGAAATTTGTTTGTCAGTTTGTCGAATATTATAAGCAGAATTGTCAAGAAAAGTGTGAAATTTCTAATTATGTTAAAATTGCGTATCACTTTGTTGCTCATTAATCGTTTCTTATTGCGTTGTTGATAGAAAATGACATGCCGCGCAATGAAAGCGACAAATTAACATTACAAATATAAAAATAAATATATATATATATATATCATTATGTCTTTGATAATTAATTATACTTATGATTTCACTTTTGTAAATAAATAGAAGCGAAATATAAAAAGAAAAGCCGTAAAGAAGAGTAAACAATAAAAATGAAAAATAGCTATGAGCAAAAAAGAAATGCTCAATTTCAATAAGTATTTAAATTTTAAGATTTTCTTAGATTATTTACAATATATTTAGACACTGTTGCGTCATTTTTCTTTATTACAAATAATATTTAAATAACAACGCGATATGCGTTATAATGAAAAATAAAATAATTGAGGGTGCTAAAAAAGAATTGATAAATACCTATTTGTTTGATTTATTATATTAGTAACTTGAAACCGTCGACATATTAGATAATTATTTAATAAAAAGAAATATTACAAAAATTAAAAATGTATATATCACTTAATACTAATAATAATATAAATAACATAAACAAAAAAAATTTAATTCAAAAAATAAATGAATTTAAAAATAATTAAATTACAAAATAGTTGTATTTTAAAACATTCAATTTTGAAATTGTAATATAATTGAATTTTTTAAAAAATCGAATTTTATTATTAATGAATTAATCATGTGAATGATAAACTTTTCGGTCCTTTGTCAATTTCAAAGATGATCATTATTATGTCTTATGAATGCATGAGACATTGTTGTTTCAGTAAAATGAACAGCCCAACATCAATATTTTTCAAGAGCTACTCAATAAAAGATGAATCTCTATTTTCTGACTGCTGGGTAGGTATTTTTGCGGCAATTGTTTCTCGAATTATGTCACGCCACATTTCAATTCGTCGAAGATTGGAAATAAATTCAAATGTGAAATTAGTTTTTCCAATCAGAGTTTTATGAATTAAAAAAAAAAAAAATTGTGAATATTTCGATTTTGAATACATTAGTCGCCAATAAATAATTTTCACAAAATTTTTCTTCGAAAAAATATATTTTTTACACAGCTTTTTTATTTTCACATTATTTTTACAACTTTTATGTTTAAAAAACTTTAACAATTAATGATTTTAGTTTAAAAATAATAAAAAGAAGTAATTGAAAAATCAAATTCGAAAGTTTAAAATAAAATATTTTTAAATTTAAAATTTAAGTTGAACTGTAGGTGATAAACTCAAGTTTCCATTTTTAACGGATGAGTTTGATTCGTTTTTTTTCAACTTCAAATTGTTACCACTTTTGTAAAATAGAGTTACGATATTTTTTATTGACAGAGTTTTGAGAATTTCCTTTTTCTTCACCTTCCAAATGAGGTTTTAAAATATGAGTACAATAAGCTTCTACGAGACAAACTTCTTCATATAAATCGAGCTCTGACATTTCAATAGTATCAGCACATTTGCGCAATAACCAACGAAAACTGATTGGTAATTCTTTCTCAAATAATTGAAAATTATTTAATCTCATGCGACTAAATAGACAATTATACATCCAATAATCTTTATAGGGTCGAAAACTTACACAACGATTGAAAATATTTCGGTTTTCATTAAAATCTTTCAAAATAAAAATTTCCGGATCTTCTGTCAAATTTTCATCTTTAAAATTTACAAATTCGTCAACTTCAATTTCCACGCTGCTACTGGATTCTTCTCCCTCTATTTCATTAGATTTTTCTTTGCTCATGACAAATCTTCCTCTTGCATTACGATGGTAAATTTTTTCAATTTTACGTCGTTTACTTAAAATATTTTTCGATTCAATCGCAGCTTTTTCCTCGTGTTTTGATAAACTTAAATTATATGTTTTTTGAAATTTCTTTTCTGCAACATTATCATTGGACATTAAATTTATCTTATTTAAAGATTTGTTCAATTTTTCATCCTCAGAGTCACTATCAATTTGAGTCAACAATTTTCCATCAAATCCAACTTGATCGAAATTAAATTCATTCGAATAATTCGATTCCAATACTTCGTTAGTCGAAGATTTCATAATATCGTAATAATTTTTTTTCGTATAATTTACCGCCACTTTACTGTCAACTTTTCGATGTAAATAATCAAATAGATTTTCGCTTTTGACTGAATTTTTCCCTTTTCTTTCAGGCTCTTCTATTATCACATTTTCAGTTAATTTTTGCTTACTCAACACTAGTGGATCGTTGAATTCGGAAACTTGTTTCTCCACAAAGTGCAAGTTGGTGTCGATAATTTTTAGTTCAATGTCACATTGATTTGCCAACTCCTCCAATCTAGCATTTAATGAAAACTTAAATTAATAAATAATAAAAAATTTACAAATAAAATAAACAAGTATAATACATACAAATCTGACTTTGTCGTGTACCCAATTTTTGTGTCATAAAAATTTATCTTGAGAATTGCAGGCAAGTCATTGTAAGGATCATCCAAAAGTTGTTGAATATAGGAATATTGTGGCGTTAGTGATGGAGGAAACATGACAATTTCTTTTAACGGTGGAAGATTTTCATTTAAAGTATCGAAACACGATTGAAATCCTTTTCGTAAAAGTTCTGGAATTGGTTTCACCGTATTAACAACTAGCGCTTGTTCGCTTTCCCTTTTCGATTGTATGAGACCCAAAAATCTGAGAAACAAATGACTATTTCCAGGTGCATCGGGATTGTATTTGATATTGCTTGGAAAATGGACTTCCGATAAAACAGCATGTCGACATTCAATAAAACGCTGCCATTCACGAAAACTAAACAGTCTCGATAAAAGAACTTCTTTCTCACTACCTTCTCTAAAAAAAAAAAGTGAAATTTTTTTCTTACAAAAATTTGGGCTCAATTGAACATGAGCAATTTTTACATTAATTTTTCAAATTACATAAAATTTTTAATTACTTTATCATTTTTCTTCTAAATTAAACAAATTTTTAAAAACAATAAATTAATCACTTATCAACTAATTAATTATAAAATCCATATAGAATTCAATTAATTTTATTTTTATTGAATGAATTTATAAAAAAAATTAAGAAATTCAAAAATTTCTTGAATTTGAAACAATGATAAACTTTTTAAAAATATTTTTAAAAAAACGAAGAAAAAAATAATACTCAAGTATAATTAAAATTGTTTAATTCTTTTTACATAAAATTCAAATATTATTTGCAACAGCAAATCTCTTCCATATTAAGATCTCGATATTGTTTTGTTCTTTTCTCCCCTTTATCAATTCCAAAAATGATCATATTATTTCTTATGAATGCATACGGCATTGTTGTTCCGGTAAAATGAATAGCCCAACATCCACATTTTTCAAGAGCCACTCCACCGCAATCGTATTTAGTTTGATTTCGTAAATCATTTAAATTCATTTCCAGTGCATCTGACAATGTTTCACCTTGAGAAATGCAATTGATTATCGATCGACTTAATCCAGCTTTTATTGCTGATTCACCATGACCAGTTAGACAGCATCCAACATGATCAGTTGCAAAAACTCCACATCCTAATAGTGGTGAATCGCCAACTCGACCAACTAACTTTTTATTCAAACCACCCGTTGATGCAGCTGCAACAATTCTCTCACCATCCCATACCACACATCCGACAGTGTCCGAAGAATCTATATAAATATTAGAAATCTTGTTTCTAATTTTGAATTTTAATTTCGAAAAAAAAATCAAAATTTAATTGTATTTTTCAAATTTTAATCACAAAAAATTGGATAATTCGGAAAAAAAATCTGGATTTAAAAAACAAAAAATTGTTTTTTTTTATAGTTACTTTTAAGTGCTTGACTAATGGCTGAAGAATCAAAAGTTGATATTTGAAAATCGCCGGAAGCTGCCGATTTATATGCACAATGCGAAGCTGGCGCAATCATACTATCTTTAGAGACGATATTTAAACCAGCGAATTTTGCTAATTTTTTCGCTCCATCACCAACAATTATAGAATTCGGATAATTTTCCATAACATATTTTGCCAATGAAATTGGATGAGTAATATCTGATACCGCAGCAACTGATCCAATTTCAAATTTACTTCCATCCATCATAGATGCATCCATTTCTACTTCTCCTAATATTAATATTTAAATGATTTTATTACCGAAAAAAAATGATTCATTTTCTAATTTTATTTTCATTAATCGTGATTATTAATTTGTTTTTTTTTTAAATCTACCTATTTCATTTAATACGGAACCGTAGCCACAGTTGAAGAATTCATCATCTTCGAACCATGATAAAGCGGCCTCAGCAGCATCGCTTGAATTTCCTCCATTCATCAGTATTTTATAACCCACTGAAGCTGCTTTTTGACAGCTTTCCATTTTTTCCATCTTTATTGAGTCGTCTGACTCTCCCACACCCCCATGAACTATTATTGATGGAGTCAAGTTTTCTGATATCATTTTTGTCTAAATTTTACATACATACAAGAATTTTTTATCCTTTCAAATTTTGTTTGACTTTCTTTTTTTTCCCCCAAATAACAAAACACAATGGAAAAGACTTGCAGTTGTTTTTTTTTCAATTTTTAAAAGTAATGAGATAATTTCTAAAAAAAAAAATGAAAATATTTAATTTGATACTAACTTGTTTATCTTTTCTGCAACTCTGCTGATTTCAAATTCAGTTATTCCATCCAAACCAAACAAAATTTTCATTATGACTATAATAAAAGCCATTGCTCTGCCTTCATAATTTGGAATAAAGTTCTGTCCATAAAACTTCATCTTTGGAGAACATAGAGTCAACAGTTTTTCTGTATATAGTAAAATTCCTCCTTGAATGAAAAAAACAAAAATAGAAATTATTTTAAACTTTTTTTCTTCAAAATACTTAATGTGCAATTTAACTTACTTGGAAGTTGTAGTTCTTGACAATATTTTTCAACAAGACATAAAAAATTTGGTGTGTCAAAAGTGACGTTTAGAAAATTTGCAATACCAGCCGATAATTCTCGAAGACCTTTGTATGTCAATTCATTTATTGGAGTTAGCATGGTAACATTCTGTTTGCTTAAAGAAACTTCCTCGGGAATCAAATGATCCATTTTGTAATACGATAAATGTCCTTCTTTGCCATATCTTTATCAATAATAATAAAAACAAATCAATTAAATTGAAAATAAAATTTAAGACAAAAGAAAAAAAAATTAACAATTTCCTGTAATTATTAAACAAACAGGAAATAATTTTTTTTTTCAATAAAATAAAGAAAAATACTGATAGCATTGGTAAATTTTACCAAAATTGTCAATTTTTCAAACGTTTTTTTGATTAAATTTTTACCGAAGCATATCCGATAGTTGAATATCAACATCATGTATTCTGAGTGCAAGATAAATTATCGCCCATAATTTTGTTGGTGTAATTACTTGTGGTCCTAGTTTATAACGCGAGGTTACTTGTCCTTTTCTGGATTTTCGACGTCGCGAATAGGAGACTTTCGATGACAGTACCTTTATTTTTCTTGCTTCTGCTCTAGCACCTCTATTGAATTTTAATCTTAAAAAATAGTATTTAAATTATTTTTTAAAAAAATTAAATTTAAAATGTAATAATTAAAAAATATAAAATTCTCGAAAACATACTTGGTTTTAGTAGAAGAACCTTGACTAAAACTAGATTGCAAGCTACTTAAACTTTGATTTGCTGAAAATGAACTTAATGAATCATTTGCTGAGCTTACTTTCTCGTATTCCGCCGCCATAGAGTTTGCCTTCAATGTTAAAAAATTTAATTAAAAATGTTTTAAATAAAAGCAAAAATTTATTTAAAAAAAAAAATTAATTAAAAATAAAAATCAATTTAAAAAAACAAAATTATGAACATAAATAATAACAATAATCTTTTTAAAAAATTACTAAATCAGTAAGAAAATGTAAATAATACCAAAAATTGCTGTGACATTCTTTTGTTACTTCCTGAGCTTTGAAAACTAGAAGTCATAGACGAAGCACTGGTATTACTTTTTCTTCTTTTTCGTTTTTTTCGTTGTTCAATTTTTCCGTAAATAATTTCTGCATCTCTAAAATATAAATAAATAGAATAAAAAAAACTTTCAATTAACACGTACAACTATCTTAATATGTAAATACCTTTTGTTGAATACTTTTGCTAATTTTGGAATAATCTTCTTTCCCTTGGAAGTAAATGCAACTTCTAATTTTTTTAAATAAGCTGTCCATAATTGTAATATTGTTAATTTTATTGTTGATGGAGCTCCAAGTTCAATAACTTCATTACTTAGTCCATAAATAACAAAATTGTATAATTCCCACGATGTCCATCCTTCAACTATATTTTTTCAATAAAAATTAAGTAATTTTTATTTTAAACTATTAATATATATTACATGTATAATCATTAATTATATAAATTAATTATTATTTATCTCAAATGTAATGAAAACAAGATTTTTTTAAAACTTACTTAGTTTATCAGCTTTTTTAGCTTTTATTTTTCTTACAGTTTTTATATGTGTCGTTCGATCAATCCTTGTCTCTTTTATATTCTCAAGAATATTCTACAATTTTAATAAATAATATATAATTTAATTGTTTTATTTAATTTGATGAAAAGTGAAATTTAACTCTATAATATACTTACTTCATTTTGAGTAAAACACTGTGTACAAAAAAAGTTTCCGTCTTCAATTACAAAATTTGTGCTTCTACAAACTTCACAAATTTTTTTATCCGACATTTTAAAAACTTAAAATTAAATTAAACTTATAAAAATTCAATAAAAGTAATGGTTAAAATATATTTTTGAATCTGAAAAAAATATAGGTTATGTTTTCACTTTCTTTATTTTATAATCCTATATATAGTATAAAATTTTGATACAATGTTATATTTTATATTTGTCTTGAAATTCTGTATAATTTAGATAATTTATAATAATTAATAAAATATGATACTTTGAATTAAAAATCTATAACTAAAATGTCATTGAAGAATATGATATATACTTTTAATTATTTAAATTATTAAAAAGATCCGTCGAAATTTATCTCTGTATTTTTATGTGTTAATTAATGTGTTAATCAAGGAATAAAGGAATAGAAATTTACTATTGTTAGAAACGTTTGCTGTTGTTATTTTTTTTTTTGTTTTTGACAAGCACGTGGAAAATACACTAGATGAGTCAAATTTTGTCACTTGGCGCAAGCGCAAACAGGTTTATAATTTGACTTCCGTTTTATATGTACTTCCGTTACACATGGTCAGGAAAATTCAGGGCACACGCTTAACCAAGAAAATGATTTAAACTCACCGAATATTTGAATTAAATATTAAACTTTGTTATTAGGAACTTACAAAATGACGGTAAGATATTCTTTAATTATTTATTACTAAATTGAATTAGTTTTTAAATTGTTAACAATAGAAAAACATATTGAATTTATTATTTAATGACAGGTAAACATATGAGGTTTAATTAAAGCACATTTTTCTTTGTTTATACCCATTGCATACTTTTTTTAATAGGTGTTAAACAATCGTCAATTTTAGAATTATTTTTTTTAAATAATCACTTGTATTTCTATTGCTGTAAAATGCAAAAGTTTTCGATTTGCGTCTCTTTACGAACATAACCTACAAAATTACAATTCTGAAATTTTTAATAGTTTATATATATATATATATACAAATTTGCAAATATAATTTTAACAAATAAATAATAAAATTTTAATTTCATACTAATTATTATATTTTTAAAATAATGTTCAAGTTTGAAAACATATTTGCTCAATATATGAAACCACGTTTGGAAAAATTGAAAATTTTATCAATTTTTAAAAAATGGAATAATTTTTTTTTTTCTATTTCAGACCAAATTATATGTTCTTTTTGAACATGCCGCGGGGTATGGAGTGTTTTACATCAAGGAATTTGAGGAAATAGGAATGCTTTTACCACAGGTAGAATCGTCAGTCACAGATTTATCTCGTTTTAATCAAATTGTTAAATTGATTGGCTTCTCTCCATTTAAAACTGCTTTGACTGCATTGGAAAATGTAAATAGCATTTCCGAAGGAATTGTTCCTGACGATTTGAAACTTTTTTTGGATTCATGCATTCCAAAACCGGGTAAAAAGGAGAAAATTATTCTTGGAGTTGGTGATTCTCGATTAGGAGCCAGTATTACTGAAGCTCTTGATATTAAATGTGATCACACGGGAGCCGTTCCTGAAATAATTCGAGGAATTCGCTTTCATTTTCACAATCTTGTCAAAGGATTTACCTTAAAAACATCTGGTGTCGCGCAACTCGGTCTTGGACACAGTTATTCCCGGGCAAAAGTTAAATTCAATGTTAATCGTGTCGATAATATGATTATTCAGAGTATCGCTCTGCTTGATCAATTGGACAAGGACGTTAATACCTTCAGCATGCGAATCAGGTAGATAGAAAATTAATTTTAAGTAAATAAATTTTTTTTTTTTTTCAAATTTTATTTCTAATTCGAATTTTGTTTTCTTTCTTTCAGAGAATGGTACAGCTATCATTTCCCAGAGCTTGTGAAAATTGTTCCAGAGAATTATATGTACGCAAAAGTTGCTCAATTTATTAAAAATCGAAAGGAATTGTCAGATGAAAAACTTGAGGGTCTTGAGGAGATTGTCATGGATAGTGGAAAAGCACAAGCAATTATTGACGCTTCAAAATCATCAATGGGAATGGATATAAGTCCAATTGATTTAATGAACATTGAAATGTTTGCAGGACGTGTTGTGGCATTGGCTGACTATAGGAAACAATTGGCTGAATATTTACGTTCAAAAATGAGCAGTGTCGCTCCAAATCTCGCGTCATTAATTGGTGATCAAGTTGGAGCACGTTTAATTGCTCACGCTGGTTCTTTAACTAATTTAGCTAAATATCCCGCGTCAACGGTACAAATTTTAGGTGCTGAGAAAGCACTATTTCGTGCTTTAAAAACAAAGGGTAATACACCTAAATATGGTCTGTTATTTCATTCGACATTTATTGGTCGCGCTGGAACAAAGAATAAAGGTAGAATTTCCAGGTACCTTGCAAATAAATGTTCCATTGCGTCGAGAATTGATTGTTTCACAGATATTCCTAGTACAATATTCGGTGAAAAATTGCGTCAACAAGTTGAGGATCGATTGAAATTTTACGAGACTGGCGATGTGCCTAAGAAAAATATAGATGTTATGCAAGAGGCAATTGAAGAGGCAGCGCAAGCTGTTGTTGTTGATGAAGATGAGTCGCCAAAAAAGAAAAAGAAGAAGGATAAGAAAAGAAAACGTGAGGAAACAGAGCATAATGGTGTAAATGGTTTCTCAAAAGAGGAAGAATCAGTTGAGGAGGAACAACCAAAAAAGAAAAAGAAGAAAAAGAAATCTAAAAGCATTGGAGAAAATGGAGATTCATCGATTCTCAATTCTACAGATTAATTATTTTGATTGAATTTTACATTTTTAAAAAGAATTTGTTTTTTATGACAAAGTCTAATGTAAAAAAAAAAGAAAAAAAATTGCAATGTTTTTGTTTTGCAAATTCAATGAGAAATCCAGTTTAAAGTAATTTAAAAAAAAAGCAGTATCAAATCTCAAAACTTGTAAATATTACATTGACGCATTAAATTTCGTTGATTCAGATCAATTTAATTAAACTGTAAATGATAGGTGAGCGCATTTATTATTTTTTTTTAAAATGTTATTTTATATAAAATGATAAAACTATCTAGAGAGTAAAGTCTTATCGACGATTTGTTTGTTACAAACTTTTCAGAGATTTTACTTGTCCGACATTTATGACAATTTAATTAACAACGGTTATTGCAAATATATCGCATTTTCGCAGTTAACAAAAGTTAACTTGAACATAAAAAAATGAAATTATGTTTAACATATTTTTTTTCAACAAATAAATCGGGATATTTTGTATGAGAACGTAATACATTCTTATATATTTTTACTGAATGTATGATTGACAAAAAAATAAATAAATAATTAAAAGTAAAAATATGTTTTGCATTTATTTAAAAATTTCTAATGTTTGACAAATACATGCTGAAATAAAGTGAGTAAATTAAAATAATTTATTTAACAGAATTTTGAAGAAAAAATTACTTTTACTTCTAAATGAAAAATATTGAGAGCGTTAATAAAATTTCAGGGGGGGATGATGTCAAAGTAATTAATGTCAAATAATATTGTAACCAGCACCAATGAGCATTTAATAAAGATAATAGAATGCAACATAGTTATAAACACATAAATTAATAATAACATTTATCACTTATTCTATACATAAAAATTAAAAAGCTGTTTTAATTTCACAATTATCAACTACGGTTGTATACAATTTATTATATAGATGCTTTTTAAAATGCAGTTTTGTAGTTTGCGCATAATACATATTATAATGAAAAATTCTTAAATTTTGAAATGAAACAGACACCATTTTATATTTGTTAAAAATCATACATTAATTTTGTATGAGATAAATTTCTTTTACAATATTCATTTTCATAATATTATGAAAATTTGTATCCTGCAGATGATAAAACATTTTTAATTTCTCAAAGATCAAAAATATATTGTTTAAATTAAAAGTCAGTAAGTACTTTTATAATTAAATTAAATTACAGACATTTGTTTTTAATTTAAATTAAAATAAATATTAATAGGTATTTAGACATAAATTTTCGTCTCTTTATAAAAACATTTCTTTTTAATGTAATCAATTTAATTTCATTCATTTAATCAAATAATTTATTTTTGTGTCATTAATTAATTTGACAATATTATTGGCTTTGATTTTATTTAAAAACAAATGCGTTTCATTTAAACAATACATTTTTGGGAGTCTTTTTATTTTCAAAATTTCTAAACGATAACTCAATGAATTCGCAAAATAATACTAGAAATACTGATGAAGCTTTATTTTAAAATTCGGAATGCTCTAATTGTCACAGATAATCAATTACGACTTGAAACTTTTCAATAAATCCTGCAACGATTTAAAAAAAAAACAAATTTCGTCCATTTTGACAAAGTGGCAAATTCTTTAGTTTTCATTGAAAAATAATACTCATGACTATTCTTTTTTTTTTTAATTTCCATCTCCTCAGCTCAACTTTTCTCGGTACTTGGAATTCTTGTGAAGAAATTTTGTTCCCTTGTGGAGTAAAAATTTTACTAATAACAATTCTCGATGAAAGATATGTTTTTTTTTTTAACAAATATGGATTTTTTTTCAAATTAATTTAAAATAAGAATTAAAATTAAAAGTTGAAGAAGTAATCAATTTTTTTTTGTACTAGAATTGATATTTGAAAAATGTATTCTATCAAAATTATATTTTGTTTTAAATGCAGGGTCAAATGTAAAATTTAAAAGAAATTTCTATACCAGTTCAGTCTCGAGAAAGTTTTACAATTATCCTAAGAGTAAGACTGCAACGAATTATCTAACTTTGTATAAAGATTTTATGCCTTTGTGGTTTTGAGCATGTATTATATAATTAATATATGTCAAGGCCAAAGGTGTCGTTTCTAATTTAATATAAATATTTTCTATTTTTTTTTTTTTAATTTTTTAATAGACCTAACGCTTAAATCGAAATTCTCAAGTATTGCTAAAATTATCGCGTTTCCACTTATTCTGGAATATCATTTTCAGTAGTATTCAATTTTTTTTTCAATCCTACAACTTTCTTCTAAAAATTAAACATTATTAAACAATTGAGCATAAATTCATTAAATTTTTCGAAAAGCGCAAATACATAAAATTATATTTAAATTATAAATATTTATCACTATTATTTAGAATTTTTCTTAATTTTCAATTGTATATAATTAACAAAATCATAGCTGCTTTTTTAGAGTTTCTTAAACTCGGTAAATATAATTATAATTGTGCAAATATATTTCAGAATAGAGAAGTAACGCGTATATTATAATTAACTTACAATCAAAACAATTTTTTCTTATATCTAAAACTTAATCACTTGGCAATCTAGCTGTTAGTGTCTGGTTATCGGTAATTACATGTTTAAAGATTGAAATCGATTTGTGACCATGTTCAAGATTAGCAGCCATAAAAATTAGTGTTTGAATTAGTAAAATTTAGAAGGAAAATAAAATTTTGTTTTTTTTTGTGCAAAAAGACGAAACTAAATTAATTGTTTGTTTTATATGTTAATAAATTTCCAACTTTTGAATTTAATTTTTGCTTTAAAAATGAATTTAATTATTGAAAAATTTAATAATTTTGACCAATCAAAAAATTTGAAATCTAAAAAGAAATATAACTAAAAAGAACAGAAGATAAAACAAAATTATTTTATTTTCTTGTAAAAAATTTTACCATTGTCAAACAAAAATTTTTTTTTGCATTATCTAATACACGGCGGCATTTATGTAACGTGAGAGATATGCTTCGCCCATGATTTATATTTCTAAAATGTCCTTCAGATTTTGAGAAATGAATAAAAATTATAATATATTTAAATGTGTAATGAATACACCGACATTTAATATTACATTTAAAATAATTTCACAACTTATATTTTAAATAACAAGAGTAAAAGTAAATTTTTTATTCGAATTTTTAATAGAAAAAATTATATTCATAATACGAGTTGAAAAATGTCTCCAAGCTTATTATTTTCTATTGTCAAAAAAAAAAAAAAAAAAAAGATGAATAATGTTTTTGTCGGTATTACGAAAAAAATGAAACTTCAAACTTACACAGAAAGACTAAATTAACAAGTATCACTTAATTTACTAGAATCTACATAATAATAATAAAGTTATAAAATTTTTGGTGCAAAGAAAATATGTGATAGGGAAGCACATCTTCTTAACCAATAAAAATTTACATCTCATTTTTAACATTATTGTGAAAAGTTTTATACAGTTACTAACTTTTATTTTATTTTTTCTCCAAGTTTTCCTTCTCGAATGATATATTTTTCGAGTTTCGAGAGAGTTTAACACACATACACACACTATTTTGTGTGTATATTTCATAGTGTGCAGTAAAATATTTCGTACAAATAAAATACATCAATATATTTTCTTTACAAGATTATTATCATTCAAAAAGATATTTTTTTACAGTATGTATAAAAATTGAGACACTCTTTCGGTCGTTTTTCTTAAGTCACTGTACATTTTTTTTTATTATATTAATAACATCGTGATATTTCGAATGACATATTGATAATAATAATATATATAGAGAATTTTCGTTAAATGCGATTTACATATTATAACTTCCTCGGAGTGCTCTCGTAATGATGAAAAATTTAACAACTTGGTACGTTTGCTTTGCAAACACATCCGCGATTCGTTTTTTTTTCTTTCGTATCAATTTTGAATCTAACTACTGATAACTTGCTATAGTTTCTCATTCAAATCCCATTATCTATTAAAAATCGAGCTTAAATGAAAGTATGATACAATTTTATTGATAAATAAAAACAAAATATATATTTTTTTTCATATAAAAAGAAATTATGCATCATTTTAATATAATTATGCTCAATTTTTATAAAAGGATTCATATACAAAATTATGACTTTCTTACAAAAAGACGTTACTTATATAAAAATTATTATACTTTTTAAAAAAAGGAATTGTAAAAATTATCATTTTTCTTATAAAAGAAATTAGACTATAAAAAATAGTATTAACAAGGTGAATTCACTATAGCAAGTATTTCTATAAATCTATATTTTTTTTTTTAGAAAAGAAGATCTTAAAACCAAAGGTAAAATAGAATGCGAAAAAGTCAAGTTTGTTTTTTTAATATCTTTTAAATTGGGAAAAATTTTCTTAAATTGTGAAAAAAATTCTTATCGTATACAATTTCAGTTCGTTTGACAAAAAAAAAAGATCATTTCGCCGTTGATTTTAAGTCTTTGATTATTATTACACCTACCCAAAATTTATTAAGTTAATTTTTCAATGCCAGCCGAAGTTCATTGAAATGCCGAGAAAAATGCTGCGTTTGGTGATTGTGGATGTTGCATCGATGGACTCGTAAGGCCCATGGTTGGTGAGACTAAAAAAAATTGTTTTTTCAAATTCTCAGGAGAAAAACAAAAGAATACAAATTTTTTAAAAATAATTAAATTACATATTAAAGATTTCATAAGTAAAATCATAGAATATTATTAATTCAAATATTTAAACGAATTTTTAAATGAAAATATATTTGTCAAGATTTGAAGTCATAAACATTTTTTAAAAATTATTTAAAACTAATTTTTTTTCTTTTATATACATATGATTTATGATTTTGACACTTGTTTTGTAATATTTTATAATTAAATAAATAATTTTCGCTAGTTTTCAATAATGTGAATAGATAATTAAAAATTAATAAAATAAAAATATTAAAATATAACTCACCCATGGGTTTAGCATGATGTTGTGGACTATTACTAGCTAGCTGATTCATCGATGGTGCTGGTCCACTTTTATTTGATTTTCCACCCATAATATTGTCAAGGTCTATATTTAATCCAGTACCAGCCCAAGTTAAACCAACTTGTGTCGCTGGTGTACTTAAAGGTTGATTTAATGCTTTACTAGTTACAGGTGTTAAAACATTTGGTGACAATCCAATCGATCCTAAATTAAATATTCTCTTTATTCAAAAGACAAAATCTTAAAAAAAATGTTCTTTTTAATTATTAATCTACTTTTATTAAAAAATTTCAATAATTTAATTTTAAAAAAAATAAAAAACTTTGCAATAACAAAAACAGAATTTTAAAATTATAATTGTTTGAAAGCAACATGAAAATATAGGCAAAATACCCTAAAAAGAAAATGTGTGTACAAATTTAAAATAATTATTTCGGAATAATTTAAAAAATTAAATTTATTTCTAAATGCTTCACAAAAAAATAATTTAAGACACTTACAGAATTATATTATGATTAAATGAAATAAAAAAAAAAAACGTGATTTTGGGGAAATATTTTCAAAAAAAAAAAAAAAAAACTAACAGCCAAGAATGGAATTAATCAAAGCGAGAGTTTGCGATCCTAAATTTTTACAATTACTATCAGGTTCTCCGCCAACGACTTTTTGTGTACTATCGATAAGCCACAATCGAACTTCCATTAAAGGTTCAAACAATTCATTTCTCAGAGATTCCTCATTAACCATACAGAGAACCGCGGCAATATTTTCAATCGCACACAATCGAACTTTTGCTTCCTTATGATATCTTAATGTCCAAACTAAATCAATAATTTCCCTCGCCATTTTTACATTCGTCGAACAATTTTGAGCAGCAATCATAATTGTTGCCAATGTTCTCAAGAAACTAATTAATAAAATATTATCAACATCCGTTTGTTCACTTTGAATATTATAAACATAATTTGCATTTCGTCCAAATCCATATAAAAGTGGATAGAAGAAATATGTAGCGACATTAGCAAATTTATTCATCAGTGTCTTTAATTTTTTCGTTGCATGTGCAAAACGTTTTGTTTTCGTATCAATTCTTTTTTGAACAATTTCCTCCCAATTGACATTCTCATTATTTCGCGGAACTTCGAAATCATCATCAAAAAGTGTTTCGCGTATTTTTCCACCTTTTGTTGTATCAATAAAAAGTGATAGACGTTTTGAAAGTTGTTGTTGCTTTTTTGGAATTTCTTTTTTTTCAAATTTTTCATCTATTTCAAATTTTGACAATTTCCTAGCTGATTCAGCGAGAATTTCCAAAAAATTAATTCGCTGACTCACCGAATAATATTCGGCTTTACTGTAAAATTCACGACATAAATAATCGGCAGATTCTTTTGGAAAAACAGTGACAATTGCTACGCAGGCATGAAATTTTAACTTTTTAAAATCATCAACATGACAATTTTCTTTGAGATTGACAAAAATTTCCAAGAGTTCAACACCAAAGGAAATGTCATCATTTGGAAGTTGAGTTAAAATTAATTCCTCAGCAATTTTTACACTCTCGGAGAATATTTCTGGATTTTGATTTGATTCTGTAGTGGTTAAATTGTCACGTAAGTCACGTAAATAAAGTGGTTTAAATTTTTCGGAAATTATTGTATCATTTGACATGTCATACGGTATTAAATCATCATCACTGTCTATTTCTTCCTCCTCCTCTTTCATTTTGTTGATATTTTGATTTATTTTTGTCACTTTTTTTGGAATTGTTTGAACAAGTTTCATTTCAGTATTTTGAATTTTTGAAGATATTTCAGGGGGAATAATAATTTTACATTCAACACCAAGATTGTAAATTTTTCTCGCACCTAAAGACATAAATTCAATATTGTCAAGATATAAATTAGTTTCCAATGATTTTTCTTCTGTTTGATAAAGCAATTTTAGATTTCTAATATCTTCAACTAATGCCTTTGCATCATTGTGTAAGGAATCGTATTCGAATTCTAATTTTGGAGAATCCTTTTCGCTGATACATTCATTGATTATTTCTCCCGTAATCATGCCAATTGCTGTTATTAAAATTTGTGTCGACTCAAGATGTGCGGTGATACCAGAGAAGAGTAATTTTTTTATTGCTTCAACTTCTATTGGAGTTAGACGATCTTTTAAACTTCTTATTGATAGAATAATTAGTTTTGTAATGTAAAGATGCTGTTCAAATGAAGTGTGATTTATGGCACTTTTATCGCCCCAAACGTCTAATAATTTTAACAATAGTTCCACTAAAATTGAGTGAAAATTATTTAAATAGGAAATAAGATTTTGCATTAAATTCTCATCGTTATGCCACGACATTAAAGGCACTTTAGTGGTAAAAATATACTTCCAAGTTGGATTATTCGCTAAATTGTCAAAAATACTTTTCACTTGAGCATTTGATTTGCAATGTTTCAAAATTAAAGGCACGATTGATTCAACACTTCGTCGATCTACTTCAATGAAAATTGTTTGAATAAAAGTTTTAATATTATTTTTATTTTCAATTGAGCACATTGACAAAATGTCAATCAATGGACAAAGATCATTTGAATCCATTACAAGAAACATTTTGCCCATTAGTTCTGCAATAATTTTCACATTTGGTTTCACATTACCGTAGATGAAACCATCGTTTAAAAATAAAATTGCTCGACTCAAATGAAAAATAATAATTTTCGAATATATTTTTGGCGTGAAACAAATGAGTATTTTTTTCTTTGCCTTATTTGCTATTCGATTTGGTAAAGAAACTAAAAGTTGTACAATATTTTTCCACGTTTCTTCAACGAAATTGTCATGAAGTTTTGAATTTTTTTCTCTATCTTCAAAAGTTTTCAAAGAATATACAATCGCTGACAATAGAGCATCACTTTTTAATAAATTTTCCAAAATTCGTGAAATAATGAAAATTTGCCATTCATTTTCCGTTTCTTTTAGAATATTAGTTAAAGTGAGAATTGATTCGTGAAATAATGCTGTTGTGCATCCATTGACAATGAAAAGATTTTCAATTGATGAATCCAATGTATTGTTAGTTAAAGGCCAATTGTGATTGAATGTTTCGATAATTTTTTCTAATATTTTTCCATATAGAAGAACATCGATTTCAAATGATTCATCTAAATTGAGATATTTTTGTGGTGTTAGGGGTCCGGGTAAAAATTTGCAGAATTCCTCGATATATGCTTTCAGTTTGTCAACATTTCCTTGTGATTTAATTGATCCAATGGATTGCAGAAATTCCAAAAGAAGATCGGCAGAATAATTAATGGACCTTTTCCTTATCTGTCTATCTTCTCGTCTTGAAACTGCAAGGAAACGCTAACTTGGGGGCATTATTTCTCAACGTTTAAAGGAACAAGCAAGTTTTCATCAAAACAAAAAAAAAAAGAATAATCGCATGCACAATTGATATTCTCTGAAACCCCTTTGTAAAATATTTTTTTTTCACTTTAAGAGAAAACTTCCAAAATCTTTTGTTATTTAGATATTTAATTTTTCTAAATTTAATGTTTTTTTACTGTTACTTATTATATTCTAAAATGATAAAAAATAAATAAGGAAGATTTTGGAAGTTTCAACAATTAGAAAACAATTATTATATTCTTACCTGTCGAATTTGATATTAGAGGACTCATAGTATTCAAAAGATTCGCATTATTTGCATTATTTGTTTGATTTGCTGACGATAACATTGCGGGAGTATTGAAACCACCAAGATCCGTCAAAAGATCGGTATTGGAAGCTGTAAAATAGGATGTTATTTTTTTCAAAAAATTTTCACAAATAAACCTTCATATAATTCATATTTTAGTGATTTTTATTTACCTGTATCGTTATTGCCATTATTCCAAGATTGAATTCCTTGCGATGGCAGGGAATTAAACATATTATTTCCCATTAAATTAGTATTTTGCGACGAGACAATTCCACTGTCCAAATTTCCAAATGGCGAAACATTCGTCTGTACACCGGTAATCATTGATCCACTCAAATTATCGGCAATCGATTGACTGAGATTGACTGCTCCCGGCAATTGAGAATTTGGACTATTAATTGTCATACCAGAATTGAAAGCCGACGTAAAATCGGCAAATTCATCATTATCCTTCGCTTTATTTGTTGCATTGCCAAATGCGCTCGTGAAATCCCCAAAATCTGAGATATTTACATTTTGTGACGGTACAGTTGTTGAACACGTGTTTGCCCGTGGATTAAAGTCATCATCATCATCATCATCGTTATTTTCATTAATATTCGAAGTTACATTCTCATTATTCGACTCAAACAAATCGTTTAAAATATTATTTGTGCTCTTTTGCTGCTGTTGTTTCACGGGCGACGTCATTAAATTTCCTTGTGTTACCTGCAAAAAAATTAATTAAAATACATATTGATTTAATTGTAATTAATTACATTTGATAATAAAAAAAAAAAAAAAAAACACGGACATTTGATTGGTCTTTTCCATAATTGGCTGCGGCTCCCAAATCGACTTTTTTGATGGGTCTCGGTGCCCTCGCCGGTGAAGGATTAGAAGAAATAGAAGACGGTATCTTGCCGATCCTGTCGATATTTTCAATAGTATCCTTGTACTCTTTTCGAACTGCTCTTCTAGGACTGGAACGAACGTCGTTATCGGAATCTTCTCTTTCGCCATCATCGCTACAATAGATAATTAAAATTAATTATAAATTATTATCATAATTTTATTTTAAAGAAGAAATTAATTTCTAAATATCAACCTGTTATTTGCATCTTCAAAACCCTTTGCTCTTGATTCTCTATCCCAATCGTTGTATGTATCTTGATTAGGTTTATTCCATTTTGGATTATCCGTCCATCGCATTCCCATCGCTTCACTGGACATGCCAACGTACTTGTCTTTATTCTTTTTAGCTTTTTTCCTCTCATCACGCAATTTATCATCGTCTTGAATAAAGTCAATTAATTCCCGGACTTTATGCCTAATATTTATACCTTGATCCTTGCCAAATTCATCGATATACGTGTAATTCTCAAAGGATTTCAAGTCATAAATATGTTCACGTGACGATGTTACAACACGTTCCGATCCATTGCGAACCAGATAATTTAAAAGAAGAAGCGCCTGAAAATAGAAAATAATTACTTCTCGTTAAATTTCTTTTTACGAGAGAGATTAAGAGCGAGAGACGGAGATAAAAAAAAAAAGAATTTAAACTGGTTTGATTATAATCACTGGTTTATATGTTACCTTGTACGTTCGACGCCAATTACGTTTATTTTCTTGTAACATTCGCTTCCAAAGCATGGACATCACCTCCGGAAATTGCTCGTATGTAAATGTCGCCTGAGCTAACTCTTGCATCATTGCTCCTAAAATATATTATGTTAATGCCCTTGGAATTATAAATGAATTTTTCGAATTTCTTTTTCTTTTAAATTAATGTTTGTTTTTAAATTTAACAATTTTTTAATAAGTTTCAATTGGTTATTTTTTTTATTATTTTAAATTTATACCTGTTGGACCCCACGCATCATCGTTAGTAGCTTCACGGACTTTTGCCTCTGTTTCTGTGTAATTCATAACTACATTCGTTCTGAAACAATTAAATTACATTTTTTTTTTCTAATAAAAGATGATTTATCTAATAAATTTTTAATAAAATTTTTCTATTATTTCAAATTTTTTTAAATAATCTTAACTATTTGACAATATTTCTTATCGTTCTTTTGAAAATAAAAAAGATGGAATTTTATTTGCAAATAGAGATAAAGAAATACTATACTTTTGTTTTAAAAGTAATTGAAACTAAATTTTAAGACACTAAAAAGTGAAATCTCTGAAGAAAATTAAAAAATCATTTTGACTGTAAACTTGTTTGTTTTATCTTTCTTTCCTGCATTTCATATTTTTAAATAATTGTTTATTTATAAAAGAAGAAGGAAAAAAGAAATAATTGCCATTTAACGGTGAAATGAGTAAAAAGATCATTTAAGATTTTTCATTCTCTTTTAAAAATTTCCAAAAAAGAAAAGAAAAAACCAACTTCTCCTTTACCGCAAATATGTGACAACAGGTAGGTCTTGAGCAAGAATTATTTTGCAATGACAACAACTTCTTTTTCCAACCTGTAGTAATAGAACCTTTCACGATTTTTTTTTTTTAGCGCCATACAAACGAAATTATCAAGATTAATAATAATATAATCATTATTCATTCATTAAAAAACAATGAAAAGAGACATTCCAGTTATAGGATTAGAAAACAAAGACGAAAGAATTTTTGTATTTATCCTTAACTTTTGGTTTAAAGTACAAAAAAAAAACTGCGATTTAGAATGAATTTGTCATTGTACTTTTTTTTGCTACTAATACGAAAAGTTATATTCTTATTTTTTAAATTATGAATTTATTTGTTTATTTCACATTAGTTTTTAAATTATACATACTTTTTTTTCTTTTTTATTTAATCATTAATGAGAAATTTTCAAGAAAGTAAAAATACAATAAATTTTTTCCACAAATGTAAAAAAAAGGTATGCGTTCAATGAAAGTAAATTACTTTAGACTTCGATATTTTGTACATTACTTAATTGACGGCATACCTTTTCACCTGCTCTTGCGTAAACTGGATTCAATTGCCTTTGAACAGACAGTTGACCATGACCTAATCTGAATGAAATGATAAAAAATCGTGTCTCATTTGACTGTCAATTTATTTTCTTTCTTATATATCCAACAATCATAATACTAGACAAGTTTTGGTTTTCAAGTAAAACATATGAGATGAAATTTTTAGAAAAACGGTTTTATGAATTACAATAAGCCTAATTAAAATTTTTTGCGTTCATTTCCGGAGTAAAAGAGATTTTATATTATGAATAAAACATGATATGAATCATTTATATATGGAGCTTGAGAATTTCATGTATCTTTTCTGTTTAAATATATAATTTCAATCTTCTTTTGATAATTATTTTCTTTTTACAACTTCTCTTTGAAAGATAATGTAAAAAATATAAATTTATTTCTAAATAAAAAATTGATAAAAAAAAATATAAAATACCCACAAATTAATAAATTTTTTACTAATTTACATTTATAAAATAAATATAAAACTTGAAACTAAAGCGAGAAATTTGTTTAATTTCTGTGTAATAAAAAAAGTGTTATTTCACAATAGTAAATAAAGGAGAATAATTGAAAATAATTTCTATTTATTTTTAAAGTATGACAGACAAAAAACAAATTCTTTAATATTATATTAACCCATAAATGATAAATTTTTTATTACTGCATTTTTATTTAAAAAAAAAAAAACTAAAATTATATCACAATAGTTATCAAAGCGTCCATGTAAATTTTAATAACAGTAAAGTCATAATTTTCTCTGTCACAGATGTTATGAGAATTTAATTTTAACAACAAAATAGATATCACATTGTTTGCAGGAAATTGAATACCAACAAACTGTCTATAGACATTATTCAATTGTTGCGGAATTTGTGTTTGGGGTCTCGGAATAATTGCCTGTCTCTTCGATCACGAGATAAGACATTTTATTACATTCCGGAATCTTCCAATCATCGGGAATAATATATACAGATTATTGATATATGAACATTTTTTTTTTTTTAATTAATGAAGATTGTCAACTAATTGCCTACGAGATCAAATTGAATTTATTTGAAAAATTTAATTTTCAAAATCATTGCTAAAGATTTTTTATAAAAAATTTTGTAACAATAATGAATAAATTCTATAGGAAAATGAAAGACGTCAAATCGAAAAAGAGCAAAAACAAGGTTAGATTCCTACTATTGTAAGGATTAAAACTTACGCCTTATCCATGAGCTCTCGCACTTTCCACATGTTCATCATTTTGATTTACACTTTTTAAACACTCTATCACAAAACTTTTTAAAATAATTATCGAAAGAATAACGAGAAACTGTCACCAGATGTTTTTACTACCATTTGATAACACGATGAGAACAAACGTCATCAGAGGAGGCCATATTTATCTTTTCAACCACTTCCAACTTCCACGTCTAATGTGCCGCGAGCGTGACTGATCTATAGATCATAATCTCAAATGAATTCTAAACAATTTTTACAATTGACAGATAAATTATTAATTGTGTTCATTAGAATTCACCAAAAAAAGAAAAACATTTTAAGAGGTTATACACTTTTTGATATTAAACTGTCAAAAACGTAAACTTTGTATTTGTATAAGTTTTTATTTATGGTCTGTTATTGATTTATTAATTGTAGTTAATTATTTTTAACATTATATTATTTTATAAATTTTACTTAAAAGTGTAACTATCATAGAAAGTTATATGTATTATAATAATATTATTATATTGTTATAATTTTATATTACCATTGTGGTTAATAAATTTTTGAATTTAAAGCGCGAAAAACAACCAATAGTAATGAATTATTTTGTTAAAGTGATTCAGTGTCGCCAACTGTTATAATGAAGTTATTCAAGTATCGCAAAAATATCGTTTTGTATGATTCGATTTATAATCGTTTTTCAAAACTGTTTACGTCAAAAGTGGCGCCACAGCCGTCGTTTTTCCTGGCCATTTTCCCCGTCGTCGTCGAGTTTTTCCGAGTGACATCTCTGTGTGAAAATAGGAATACCGAACACGTTTGACGGTGTAAAACGTCATAAATTCAAAATTTCAAATGATCAAATGATTAAAGTGACACTAGTAAAACCCGGTTATCGTCGTGTTTGTGGAAAAGTTTGCCTGTGACTGTGAGTGTTGCCTCTTTTTTTCCCTTTCAATTTCAGCGAACGTCATTTTTTGAAAAAAAATCTTTCAACAACGTTTATTAGGTTTTTTAACGATCGGGAAAGCGCAGTGAGAAAAATTTATCGGAGAGTGGACAATTTTATATATTTACGCGCATATGTTATCGAACATTATCAGTTGAAAAGTTAACCGAAGGGAAAGAGAGGTAAAACTTGTCATGGAATCCACCATCGCTCTATAGATATTCGCAACATGGCGATCGTTTGATTGTGTACAGGTATTTGTGACTATAATAAATATACAGGTATTTGGTTTTATTTTTTAGTACTTGATGGAAAAAAAAAAAAATTAACGGCCTTTTCTATAATCTTGCTTGCGTGTCACTCATGTTTCTTTTTATCTTGCTTTCAACGGAAACAACTCTGCTGGGATGCTATTGCATAATTGACTGATAATAGCTTTTATTTTAGCGGTTTTTGACTCAATTAGATGAAGAATGCCTTCAAAAATTTCCTTTTATCGTGTCTATTCTTTGTCCACGTCATATATTTCCTTCACAAAGAAGTCAAGTTTCAAAACATTTCAGAATGTCATTTTTATTGATATATACATTAATAGGGTAGATAAACTTAACCTATAAAATTAGAAGACTGACAAACGGATTAGTCTCCATTTTTGATATATACAGTTTCTCCGGTGTGCGATTAAATTATTTAATGTTTAATTGTATATAATTAAATACGTTAAGTATTAATTTTGTTTCTTAGTTTGGAAAACATTTCAATTCATACCGGTAATATTCAACATTTTATTATAATTTTTTCTTTTCCTATTTATACAAAAAAAAATATATATAATATTTTTGAAATATGACTAATTTTTTATTTGATATTGAAATATATATATATTTAAACATAAATTTAATTTGCATGCATTGTATATTATACTGAAATTTTATATTGGTATTTGAATGTTATTATTTCAAACTTTTAATGAGAAAAGTTGCCATATAATTAAAATTCATTTTGTTATGGATTGATTGATAGATGGCCCAATCGACAGGAAAACAAAGAGAGAGAAAAGTAGCGTGGAGAAAGAGGGTGAGCAATAAGTTTGACTGAAAGAGACGAAAGTTTATTTTTTTTTTTATTTTGAAAACTTTCTGTCTTTATATAGGAAATAACGAGAGTGTGAGTGAATTGATTATAGAAAATTCTTCTCGAATCTCGCTTTAATTAAGGCACCTCGTTTAATATTTAGTGGGTCTTGTTTCATTAAGAAAAAAAAAAAAAAAAAACCCACCTGAGGCTTTTTTATACTTCTTTATTTTTGACTATGTATCACGTCACATTGTCACCTCACGCAATGGTGCAGTTAATGGGTGGCCAGCAAGCAGGTGGACCATGTTTGCCAATTCAGAATCACACAACTTATTACAATGGTGCAAATCATTTGCATCAAACAGAATACACTCAATTTGTTCCTGATGCTTCTAATCATAGCAGGCATCATATTCTGCAGGTACTCACTTTTTTTTTTTTCTTATTTATTTTTACTAGATATTTATATTATATCATTTATTTGTGTTACAATGACTTCCTATGAATTCAGCACTTTGTTTTTCTTAGATATAACTTTCATCGAATTTCCTTCATTTATAACATTTAATCATAGGACACAATTTTAAGATAATATAACAAAAATATTTAATAACTAAACTAATGATAAATGTGGGATTTCTTTAAGACAGATACTTTATTCTCTCTGCTAAATTTTACTCCGCATGCATTCAAGTAATTCTACTGATTAAGCTATTTTTAATTTTCTTATATTAAAATAATATTAATAATTTTTTAAAAATATTTTCATATTATTGTGAATGGAAAAACAAAAACTTACAAAAATTTCTTGATTATATAGACTTCACCTCTACAAGCAGGATCACATCCTATTGAATTAATTCAGCGAATGGGTGTAGACGTACAACAATTTCGTCGTGCAAACTACAATATGCATGGGAATGGCTCGTCAAATAATAATTGGCCAAAGCGAATAAGTCATTCAAATAATATACCCACAATGCCACCTCCGCATCTTAATTTTCGACCAGCTAGCACAGGCTCGATAAAAAGAACAAATTGGAATAATAAAGGAAAACGAAATCTTCATCGAGATTCATTTTCGCCAAAGGAACTCTATAACAGCGATAGTGGATTTTCTTCACGTTCACCAACGCCGAATAAACATCAGAACGATAGCAGTTTAACTGAAAGTTCTGATGAACGGGATTCTATTAATTCTATAGGAGAACAAGGAACTAAGTATGTTTTTTTTTATCTCAATAATAATGAAAAATTTTTTCGTTATTGAAATTTTTCTTGAATTTGTTCTTAAATAAAATTAAATTATTTTATTTTACAGGCGTCTTCAAGAGGTGCATTCAACAATTAGCCATATGCATAATTCAAATAGTATTAATCGCGGAAGTTTGATTTCAAATACTTCTGTCCATCAATATTGCCAAAGCCAACGACCTGTCAATTATTACAATAATTCTATCCAAGTACCTAGAGCACCAGTACAAAATTACCAGAATAAAAGAAGATATTCTGGTAAACTAAAAAACAACATTTTTTTTAATACCATTTTTATAATCTAAAAAAAATATAATTAATATACTTTTTTATAGGGAGGAATAGCCCACCTCAGCAGAGGACACAAAGAAATAGAAAATTTACAGGAATGATGACTCAAACGTTTGCGTTTGTTCCGCGATATGTAATTGGTCCAGATAGATTTTTAGAGGAAGTTCCTCACATGGAAGTCACACAGAGGCCGGATAACTTAATTACTAATTCAATTTGGGACAATCTATCAGAGAATGTTTGGGAAAAATTTATCTCCAATCAACAATCTAATACAACTTACAGAAACAAGATGATGCTCTGGAAATATTTGTACATTTTTATAAAAGTAACAATACATTTAATTTAATTTATTTTTTTTTTAATTAGTAACTAAAAATACTTAACTATTTGAAAAAAATTTGTTACAGTCGGAGTTTCCAAAGTATGGCTTGTTTTTGGTGGGTTCGACAATGAATGGTTTTGGTTCTGAAAGTAGTGACGTTGATATATGTCTTTTAATAAAACACACAGAAATGGACCAAAAAAATGAAGCCATTTATCATTTAGATCATATTTTAAGAAGTTTGAACAGATGCGGTAAATCTTTTGAAAAATATTAAAATAATACGAATAGCATTCTCTTAATTATATTTTTAATAAATTATAAATAAATTTTATTTTGCATATTTATATTTTTTAAAGAGAAATTGGAAGGAAAAAAAAATTACAATTTTGGGTTATTAAAAAACGATAAATTTTTAAAAATTTAAAAATTCTTTTTGACAATTTCAGATTTTATCAAGAATTTAGAACTGATTCAAGCAAAAGTCCCAATTCTCAAATTTCATGACGCATTACAAAAGCTAGATGTCGATTTGAACTGCAATAACTCAGTTGGCATTAGAAATACCCATTTAATGTATTGTTATTCACGAAGTGAGTATAAAATTCTATATGACATTTTTTTCAAATATTTGCAATGATAAATGAAAAAACATAATTATCATATTAACGTAAATTTATTGGTACAGAATGTAAATAACATAATTTTACAATTAACAAAATTTGATGGAAATTTAATTGTTTGAGAGAGTTTATTAATTAATTCAATAAATTGTTTAGTCGATTGGAGAGTGCGACCTCTTGTTCTCGTTGTGAAGCTTTGGGCACAATGTCAAAATATTAACAACGCTAAAAATATGACCATTTCAAGTTACTCGCTAGTTCTCATGGTTATACACTTTTTACAATGTAAGAGTTTGAAATTTTTTTTAACATGCTTTTTTTTCAATGAAATGTTAATCAAATATTTTTTAAAAATAATTATTAAGGTGGAATAACTCCTGCTGTCCTGCCATGTTTGCATTCTATTTATCCAAATAAGTTCAGTCCAAATTCTGATCTACATTCGATTGACATTCACGAGGATTTACATATACCAGTTAATGAGCTCCCTTCTCCCAATTATCAAAGCCTTGGAGAGCTTTTGGTTCAATTCTTTAAATTCTACATCACGTTCGAGTAAGTTATTTAAATAAAAATGTTTTTCAAAAAGAATTTAATTCACCTAAAAATATTGTCATTTACTTTTTTTTTTTCTTGGTGGGGAGAATTTCAATAAGCTACTGTAATTTTAATTTTGATAAAAGTTTTTTATATTTTTATTTAAATTTCAGTTTTAGTCAGTATGCAATTTCTGTGAGAGTTGCCAATAAAATTCCTATTGAAGATTGTCGAAGAGTGCGATCTTTTAAAAATGATCCTCATCAGTGGAAATATCTTTGCATTGAAGGTAAAAGAAGAAATATTTTGAATAAAATAAAAGGAAATTTATTTATTTTGATTATCTAGAGAAATTAAAATTTTTAATTATTTTTACTCAGACAAGATTTATTTTCAGAACCCTTTGATTTGACCAACACAGCAAGATCAGTTTACGATCCTGAAGTTTTCGAGAAGATCAAACAAATTTTCCGGGTAAGTTATCAACGATTAAATGAAACACGCCAATTGTCCAGCATATTCGTAAAGCTCGACATTAAAGCCAAAACGTCACTCGTCACAACGTAATTACGTGCTGTGAATTAGCACTGAGTAGAAGATTAGTTAGCAGAATTGTATATTGAAAAAGAAAGAAAAGAAAAAAAAATCTCAAAGATGAACATAAACGTCACTACTTTAAGATTGTGTACGTTTTAAAAACGGCTTACGATTAAAAGTGATTTAGGGTACAAGTATTATAGAAGACACAAGATATGGGCTTCGCATAATAATGAAAATTAGTGCCAAAATCCATTGATTGAGAATAACTTTAAGAACTTGGACTATTTTGTTTTTGTCACGATTATAATAATCGAGAGAAAAAACAAATTCTTTTCACAATGAAGCACTAGTTAAAAGAGAAAAAAACAACAAAAACCAAAAAAAAAAAAAAAAAAAAAATCTCGATCACTAGTGATTCTCTAGTTTTAAAAACTGCTGGCATGTGAGATAATATTAACATCTTTTTTAAAATCTTGTGCAATAGATTTTCTCCTGCGGCAAAACATTAATCTAGTACAAAGTGTGAGAGAAAAATTAGAGGTGCTATTAGTTTCCAATGACTGTTTAAATATATATATATATAATAATCTTGAAATGTTTCAAAGTAAGAGAGAAAAGAGAAGAAAAAAAAATTTATATATCTAGAGCATTGAAAAATGAAAATTATAGGACAATGAATATTCATTAAAAAAAAAAAAAAAAAAAAAATCATAGAACAATATTAAAATTGATTTTAAATCATAAATATATATAGATAGATAGAATCGTTTAAAAAATAATTTAAAACAAAAAATACAGAATCGCGACTTTAATGAAACAATAATAAATTTGAAAAATTAAGGGTATTATTTTTTGCCTAACACTATATAGGAAATGAAAGAAAAAAAAGTACTAACGAATAATTCTTCAACGAAAAACAAAAAAGAAACGTAACAAGGTGCCTTATTATTTATTTCAAATAACTTCATTTTCCGGAAAATACAAAAAAGAAAAAAAAATTCTGGGGTAACATAAATATGACAAGACTATTAACCAATAATAATAAATTAAAAAAAAAAAAAAAAAAAAAAGCTAACTTCAGTGTTTAAACTGTTGTCAATAATATTGAAAAATATCGGTTTAGTCGCTACATTACATATCGTTTGGTATATATAATTTTGCCATTAATTTCTCAAGAAATATTATATTTGTTTTATGTATATTTATATGTACACAAATTTTAATATCGTTATTCAGTTTTTTTTTTCTTTTTGAGGAAACTGCCTTTTTTTGGCATGGTTAAACGGTAATTTTTTTTCAATTAACTTGTGCTATTTTTTTCTTAAAAACGGCATTTTGTTTTGAGATTAATAATTAGATAAAAAAAAAAAATAAATAAAGTGAAAAAAAAATATTCAAAAAAGTTTAGCCAAAAAAAAAAACCCGTGTAAAAAAAATGTCAACTGTATTGTTATTTAAGTTTTGTAGTATTATTTTCTAAGTGTGACAGATGTGTAAAAGCGATGATGATTATTATAGTAATTATTAATAATATTGTGAATGTTGATGAGTGGATTGTTCGTATTTGGATATTAAAGAAAAAAAAACACCGAGCAAAAAAACAAAAAAAACAAACAACAGCTCGTGAATTATTGTCAAAAAAAATCGTCTCTAGATACGATGTTAACATCTAAAAATATTGGCAGCCTTTTTACTATCCGGCGGCTACTTATTAAATTTCTGAGATGCAGGAAAATTTTTTTACATCGAGATATAAAAATTTCGATTGTCGATTATCGCTAGAATGATTTAAAAGTCATTTTCAAGCGAATTTTTTTTTTCAAAAATGAAAAAAAAAACCCATACGAGCAGTTCAATTTTTTTTTAAATTGTGCCAACAAAAAAAAATTGTTCAATAATTATTTAATTCTTTATTAAGTAAAATTAAATGATAGAAATAAAATCTTGAAGTAGATTTGAGAAAAATTTTCAAAATCGATAAAAATAAATAAAAATTTATAAAAAAATATATAAAAACTTTAAAAACAAAATTGATAAGATTTTTGCTAAAAATAAATTGTTTCTTTTTGTACAAATTGTCCTGCTCGTTATCTCGTTTGAGATTAAAAGTAAAAAAAAAATTAGTCTGCACATTCCTAAATCTCAAGAAGTGTAACGAAAAAATAGAGAGGCTCTTTAAGTTTTTTGATTTTCTTCCATTAAAAAAAAAAAAAACAAAAGTTCCTACGTGTAATCAAAATCTGAAAGACCTCTTTATATAGTGCTTTTTTATTGCAATGTTTAGAAATTTATATATGTATAGATAATGTACACGAAATGCGAGTGGAAATTGTGTTTTTTTTTATCACAAAAAATTTCCGCTCACTAGTCCTTTTTTTCGTTATTTTTTTTTTCTTTTTTTTTTTTTTTTTTGATAACTTTAACGTGATAATAAAGCATTTAATGTTGAAGATGAAATTTAAGGGAAAATATGGCTGTGCAGGCAGTATGAAAAATATTTCTCCATTAATAACTTAAAAAGAGAGAAAAAAAAAAATATTTAAAAAATTAATTAAAAAAAAAAAAAAAAAAAAAACCTAAAAAGTCCAAGGACCTGCGTGATAGAAGATATTCTTGTGTTTCGCACTTGGCAATTTAGTTGATGAATTTAAATGATAAGAACTTCTACAATTCGTGAAATTGATGTAATCTGAAGTTTGCTCAATTAAATCGTTTACGCGCGATATTTATTTTGTCGTATTTTCTTCGACGGATTAATTTTTGTAAAAAAAATAGAAATGAAAGAATGAAAAAAAAAATTATTAAAAATACTTTAAAAGGCGTTGCACATTTCGCGCAGGTCCCAATGACCTGTGATTTAATTAAAGAGGTGAATGTGCGAAAACGCAATTTCAAAAAACCAAAAAAGATTTTAAAAAACATAAAAAAAAATTAGTTTTCCTTCAATATTAAGCGGTGCGTATATTTAATTATAAACTTTTCATATTAACTTTTCATATTTCTTGCTATTGATATTTATATTTATTGCTTACGAATTTTGCGATAATTTATTTCGGAAAATAATGTTTTGCTATAGTAATTAATTAAAAATCAAATTTAATTGCCTTCAACCGTTCACCTTTTTAATTACTGTTAGACATAGTTAATCGACCCAAGTGCCAAAATTGTTTATATAAGAAGTATGCGTCTGATATAAAATAAACATTTATTAAATGTATTTGTGTCTGTAAAGCGAAAAAAAAATCATAGATTAATAATCGGAAAATCAAAATTTTTGTACATAAATTTAGTCAAATTTAGCGAAAAAAATACCAATTATCTCCGACTTATGAACATATTTAGATAATCAACTTAAAAAAATCAAAATGCAAAATTTATAGGCAATAACATTTATTATTTAATATCTTTTTGTAACTTTAATTTTCTTGTTAAAAAAAAAATAAATAAATAAACACCATGTTCACGCACCGTACATGCAAATCTTCATTATTTTCTTTTTTCCAAAACTTCTTAAAAAATTCCTTTATCGACAGTTTTATTTTGTAACTGAAACAAAAATTTTCAATGTATTCTTAATAATAAAAAAATAATTGTTAAAATTTCATTAAAATTAACAAATAAGTGGATAGGTTTAAAAACAATTATCAATAAAAATAGATGTCAAATTAAATTTATTGGTACCATAAGATTTCACAATGAATTTCTGTAATTGCAGTGAGCGGTGCGCTGTTGATACAAGAGAAATAAAAACAAACTTTAATTTTCTTTTTGCATTGCGTAACCTACTGATTACATTTTGACGAAGGAATTACCGTTCGAAGTTGCAAGCACTCTAAAAAAAAAGAAAAAAAAATTACAAAACTAAAAAAAGTGCGAGAAAAAAAAGTAATATTCCAAAAAAGAGAAATTATCATTGTATTTGGTAATTAATAAAATTCACTGAATAATTCTGTTTGTACCATGAATCGTTGTTAGCAACACTAAAATATCAGAAGGGAATTTCATCCCAAAATTAATTTTTTTTTTCTTTAAATAAAACAAACAAAAAATTTGTTTTTATTTTCTTTTTTTTTTTTTTGTTGACATTTTCAAGTGCCAATAAAAAAAAAATTTCTCTGACGCTCCCATAGTTAAATGAAAATTTTTTGCTCGATGTTATTTTGCATTATTTCCAAGCTCAAATTTAAAAGACAAACTAAATAATGATAAATCAACAACTCAACATTTTTAGCGCCTTCTCGCCTCCTAACTGCCTTGTCAATAAACACAAGGCTTTATTTTATTAACAAAAAAAAAAAAAAAAAATATACAAGAAATTCTAAAGGAGAAAGAGAATAAAATATGATTGGGAGAATAATAATGTGGGAGGGAAAACATAAAATGAAGCAAAATAAATTGGTTTAATTGATGAATTTCCCGTGGTCAGCGTTGCATTTGTTTTTTGTTTTTACTTTAATGCTAAAAGCTAAAAGATTCGAGAAAGATATTGACCTCGCGCTGCTGTTCCGACAAAAAGACTCACAATTAATATTTTTGTCGACACGATACCGTTGGTTATAGCGAATTGCACGTGTGCCGTGTAATGTGCGTGCTTTCAAGAGATATTATTTTTCAGCATATTTTTTTATTTATTTTTTTTTTTTTTGGTGACTTCAACGAACGGAGATTAAAATTCAAAATTGAATTTTTCCGATAATAAAAGGAATTTCCTAAAACTCATATTGTCAAATAAAAGAACATTACCCTCGATTTTCTTTATTCAAGTTCAATGAAGGCTTTTTTTTTCATAATGAAAAATTTCATTTTTTTCCTTATGGAAAATTCTTCTCTTTCTTTCTTTTGTAACAAACAAAAAAAATCTCCGTTCAATCGCAAAAAAAAACTGCTACTACGTGGCACACTCGTTCAATTTGATCACGTCATTAAAGCGTTGCAAGTACCTTTTATTATTATTTATGTGTGTGTTTTTGTAAATACCAGCATCACTTGATAACCGCGATTTAAAGTAAACGATCCGCTCACGGTAAGCGCGTATTACGTAAAATTGGCATTTTTCTATTCTCTATTATAGACATTGATGTCATTTTCTTCGGTATTTCGATGTCCTTTTATAGCCTTGCCGCAATGAATTTATATTCCCAATGAATCCATCCATCATTGAACGATTTCCGTTTTTAAAAACGGTGAACGGCGATAAACTTTTTTTTTTGTTTTTTTTTTGTTTTTGTTTGTTTGTTAACCATATAGTTACCCCTCTTTGACGACGGCGACGACGATGATGACCTTCGTGTACGCACACAGGACCGTTACTCGATCGCCAAGCCGTGTTTTTTTACCGTTTTGCGCAGTTAGTGATTTGTTGTTTGTTGGACGAAGAAAAATTGGTCGAAACGAGCCTTCTCAGTCGCTCCCGCGACGCTGCATGGCGAATGCATTGTTCAGCCGTATGCTTTCGGCTCAATAGGGCTGGGAGAATTGACCCCCGGCTTGCGACTGGCCTGATTGATAAAAACCACTTCTATCGCCCTGATAAGTCGAATCCTGGGATAATAGTCCGTCCATTTGCGATTGAAACTCACCAACTGCGAATGAGTCCTGAAAACATTTTTCATATTTCAATGTCAATGCAAATATCTTATCAACTATTAAAACGAAATAAAAAAAAAACAATTATTAGTGTTTGTAAAATTTAATTACATATTAAAATTCGTTAATTTTTCCCTGACTAATATTTCTTTTTTTATTTATTTATTTAATTACATTGTACGGGCTTACAAATTTGTAAAAAAAATGACCTTTAGTGCAGAAGCATTTAGAATTTTAAAAAATTATAAAAAGTATAATACATAACCAAGTTATTTTTAAAAAATAATAGTTTAATAAAAAATAGTAAAGGATGTAAGAGCAATTTATCAACAACAAAAAAAAAGAATCAGGGTTGCCACAAGAATTAATTTTTCAATTTCCTGTCATCAAAAAATTGTATTAAATTTAATGAATTATAATATAGAAATTTAATAATTTGAAGTAACTATATTTCAATTTCTTTTACAAAAGAACAGAAAGCTCAGTATCTTTTTTCTTGAAAATAGGTAAAAAGGTAAATTATTAAAAAAAAAATAGGTGACAAAAAGGTGATATAAATCTGATAGTTAAAATCAATTAATGTAAAAAAGAACTAATTAGTATATCTATTCAAATTTGGATTAATTCAATTTTGGATGTGTATATTAAAACTTAAATGAAATAAAATTTAGAAAAATAAATAATAATTTAATGATAATAATAATAATAATTTGAAACTTAAATAGATTCATTTTTAGATACATAGAATGAAAATTCGTTAATTTTAAATAAAATTTTAATTAATAAATTTGTTTTGACCAATAAAAATTAGAATTGATTGAAAGTTGAAGCAATTAAAATTGAGATTTAATTGAAATTTGAACATATTCAAATTTAAATAAATTGAATTTTGGATTTATTAAATTGATGGTTCATTAAAATTAGAATGAATTTTCATTTAGATTGATTATAATTTTAATCAATAAATGCTTCAACTGATTAAAATTTAGATTTATTGAAATTTGACCTGAATAAATTTTAAATCGATGACATTTTTTTAATAAAAAATTCAAACTTGGGTCAATTGAATCATTTATAGAAAAGATGAAAATCTGTATTTTTGTGTTTACTAAATTGATATAAATTCAGGAATGTAAAAAAATTATTTTTCAACATTTCTGAGCTTAAGGGGGGTTAGGCTACTGCAGTGCACGAGTATTAAATTAAAAATCCAATTATATTATATATTATTATCAGGTATATATTGAAGTAAAAAAAAATTATTTTCTTATGTAGTCTTATTCTTAAATCAATGTTTTTATATTGTAAATTTAATTAGTTTTTAATTATTTTGTACATTTGGAAATTAATCGAATCATGAGAGATCTGATGAAAACCTGTGATTTCTTCTAGAGGGATTTACTTAAGTAAATTAAAATTTGGACAAATTGAAATTCGGATAATTTGAAACTTAAATAGATCAAATTAAAATTTTAATTAATCGATTTGTTTTAACAAAAAAAAAAAATTAGAAATGATTGAAAGTTGGAGAAATTGAAATTGATCGATTTAAATTTAATTAAATTGAAATTTGAATGAATTAAAATATGAACAGATTTAAATTTGGATAAATTGAATTTGGATTTATTAAATTGATGATTAATTAGAATTAGAATGAATTACAGAACAAAAAAAATTTTCCTGATTTATGGCTACCCTGAAAATAACCAGGATTAATTTGTTTATAAATAAAAATGACTCACCTGCGAGAGTTCAGCTTGAGAGAGTCCCGGCTGTGAGAGACTAAAACCGGGTTGTGACATTCCTTGTGTATTTCCTTGCGTCAATGGCAAGCCCGGCTGACTGTACGGTTGTGTATTCTGTTCAGTTTGACTGAGCTTTCCAATACGTGCTCCAGCTTTACTCTTAACAGGCGTGACACCACGTCGATTACGTTGATTTTGCCTTGCTTGAAGTGCTTGTTGATGTTGATTATAAAATCTCGGTGGCACATGTGCCATATTCATGAACATTCCCACCGGAACTGGAACATTATTCATTGCCGCCTGTGCTCTCTCAGGACTAATATAACTAATTGTATCGTGCGTTCTACTGAAAATATCTAAAGTCACATTCCTCTGATAATATGGATTATGATTTTGATTGCCATTGACTTGTGCTCCGGATCTATCATAAACCGATCCCGGTATTAGGGCTTCTCTTGCGTCATACATTGATGTCGACATAAAATGTGATCCGGGATTTGATGCATTAACAAGTTTCTTCGGTTTTGCAAATTGTATCATTGATTCTTTTAAATTATTCAATGGACCTTCGACAAGAACTTTTTGTTCCTTATAAAAACTTAATAAATGATTCCAAAGTGGTTGTTTGGAAAGAACTTTTGGATTTCCAACGATAATAATACCGTATTTTGCTCTTGTCAAGGCAACATTTAATCTTCTTGGATCATTTAAGAAACCAATTCCTTGATGTTCATTTGATCTTACACATGACATGATGATAATGTCTTTTTCTCTTCCTTGAAAGGCATCAACGCTAGCGACTTCAATTTCTTGATAGAGTTTTGCATGCAATGAGCCTTGATATTGCATGTATTGAACTAAATATGCTCTTTGTCCCTCGTACGGTGTTATGACGCCAATTTGTTCTGGTTTCACTCCACAACGTAAAAATCGTGTTGTTATTTTCTCAACATTTGACGCTTCGGTACGATTTAAATATGACGTTCCACTGCCAGCAATTTCTTCTTGTCCTTGTGTTACATAGAAAAACATTGGTTTATCGGGCGCTGGCCAGGGGAAATCAATTTTGAGAAGTTTTCTTTCATCCGCACATACACCATTTTGCAGTGAACCCTCGTAAAAGAAATTTGATGGGAATCGCGATAAATCAGGATGCATTCTGTATTGAACTTCAAGTCGAAATGGTCGAATTCCAAGAACGACGAGACGTTCGAATAATGATTGTGAAAGACCGGCTCTTGCTGCTTTTTTACACATTACAACTGGTCCCAATTGACAATGATCACCGACGAGGATCAATTGTTTTGCCCCCAATACCACTGGAACCATACATTCGGGTTCTGTTGCTTGCATACTCTCGTCAATGAGAATTGAATGAAATTTGAGTCTATGAAGTCTTGGATCACCAGCACCCACGCAAGTACAACAAATAACATCAGCAGCTTCGAGTAATTCTTTTTCGGCGGCTTTTTTCAATAGTCTGTAACGTTTTTCATCGACACTTGACAATTCACCAGTTTCATCTTTCAATTGTTGAAGTTTTTGTAGTTCCGTGTTTGTTTCCATATTTTTAATTTGATTGTGTAAAGCCAAAAAGCTCACTGGCGAATCAATTGCCTCACGAGATTTGGCACAAAGACGTACAACCTTAAGATTTGATTTATGTATTTTTTCAGTCAATTGATCGACAGCTGTGTTTGAAGGAGCACAAACAAGTACGGGACCACCATTTTGTTTCACAAGTTGATAAACAATTGTTGCACTTGTCACTGTTTTTCCTGTGCCCGGAGGACCTTGAATTAAGGACAATGGCCTTTGAACGGCATGTTTCACAGCATAGACTTGAGAACGATTTAGGTCTGGTAAATTTGGTGCACTAAAATGTTTTGGTAAATGGCAACGGAATAAAACTTCCTCAACTTCATGACCCAATAGTCGATGATAAATGTAAGCCGATACCGAAGTGTCGTCGACGGCGAATTTTTTGAGCGCCAATTGCATTCTGCAAAAGACAAAGAGAAAAATTAAATTAAAATCAAATCAAATAACACAGTATCTATTTTGTTAATTAAGAAAATGGTAATATTAAAATAATTATTATTTTATAAAAAGGTATATTTTTCTAAATTACTTGTCTCTTTTTTTTAAAATTATATTTAATCCCTTTTATTAATTAGTAAATTTTATTTACTTTATTGGAAGTAAGGCAAATTTATTTTCTTTCATTTTTTAAAATTCAATTTCAACTTTATATTTCATATACAACAAAAACACAATCATTGAATTAACCACCGACTCGCGGATTTTTCGATTTACTTCTGTAAGAAATTAATGAAAAGATCTCTACATTGTATTCTATTGTTAGTAAAAGTGGGGGGTTTCCTTTATATATATATATGTGTCCTAAGAACTTTATTGTTGCCAGGCAAATTTTTGCAAAGTTGCACTTTTTGTAGTGACGTGATATCACCCACTTCTTAGTTTCTTCAATTTCATATTATAGTGTTTCTAAAAATACTTCTGAATTTATTTCCTGTGAAACGATTTTCATTGATTGTTGAATTTTGCTGATTTTCATTTTCATAGGTTGTAGATGTTTACATTTTTTGTTATAATTTGTTTTTTTTTTATTTTATACTTTTATTATTTAATTGAAAATTATTCTTACCTCACTTTTTTTTATAAACCCACAAATAAAAGAACAAAATAAAAAATCAAGTATTTTACATACCCTAATTTAACCAAAAAATTTGAAAAACAATTTATATATTTATAAAATTCGAGATTTAAAAACAAACCTTAAGCACATTTAAATACATTCAACATTCTTCAAAGACATTGAAGTTTTAACGATGCTGAAGTTGACAATGTTTATCATCAACGATTTTTAAAGGAATATTTTGTTGAATGAAAAATTATAGAAATTTTTGTCTGAAAGAAATTTTTCGCAAAGTTTACGCATCAAAAAAATTATTTAAAAAAATTTTTTTATATAAATCTAGACAAAATTTATCAATCAATTCAAGTCAGGTTGTAAGAGAATAAAAATTTCAGTCTTTTTAACGATTCGATGATAAATTTTTATAATTTTCCGTCTTAAAAAATAAATTTTTTTTCTAATCGTCGATCATAAACTATGTGGACTTCAGTATCGTAGATTTTATAAATAAACTAAAATATAATAAAATTATTTAACTTCCTTCAAAATTTCTTAAATTTTTCAAAATAAATTGTAATTTTTTCAAAACCACTTGGAAGTTTTTCTTTTTTTTTTTTTTTTTTTTTTTTGGGGGGGGGGTATGTATTATACTTGAAAAGAAATTGAATCAGTTTTTTAAAAAAAGCTTAAATTATTGTTCTAGGATAAAATAAAGAGACCTAAATTAAAATTTTTTCAAGACACATTAATTGAGTAATTAGTTTCAATATTTTTAAACTATACGAAAAAATTTACAGAAATTAGACTAAAAAAACGTTAATTTTTTAATTATACTTTTTTTCAACATAAATGTTTTTTAAAAGTGGAATTTTCGAAATTGGTAAATTTATCTGTGATCACTAAATATTAAAAATCTTAAATTGCGAATTTAAATAACTTAAAAAAAAGTTTTATATATCTCACCGATCGAAACTCGTACTCTTCCAAATAAAATCAACGACAAAATTGCTGACACACTCTGTAGGCGCTCCCGAATTATTTTTCAATTCAATACCAACTTCTTCGCCATAATTATCAGGGATTTTAATCACATGTCCAATTCCAGACCAGGGTTTGTGCAATTCACCAAGGTAACGAAGTCGCAATTCATCGCCATGCATAAGTTTCATATCACCGTCCGTTTTTGCAAGCATAAAATAGGCAATTGTCTTTTTATTTAAACCAACATCCCATCGTACCTCGATATTCTCCTGTGTTTGTGATTCTTTTAAACGTTTATCATAATCCGCCTCTAATTTCACCAATGGACCAAATATATTTTGATATTGATAGCCATCCTCGTATCTTAATAAAACTTGTTGTGGTTCTTCGTCAACACCTGGTTTCTCGAGATCCTGAAATGTTGCGTCAACATTATCGCGCCACAATTCCTCAAGTTTATTTATTTGTTGAGCTGATATTTGTCTCGCTCGCAATTGCTCTTGTTCTGATGGGATTTTCACTAACCACGCGAGAAAACTACGATCTTCTATTAGTGGTTTCCATTGTTCCTGATCCCTGTAATATTTTTCATAATTAATAATTGATAGGACAAAATTTAAAGCATAAATTCTGTAAAATATTTTTAAAAATATTGAAAATTTTTTCTTTCTAAGTTTTTCAAGTCTAATTTATGGAAATTAATCTAATTCAAAATTTCGGGAAAATTAGGAATTTATCTTCAATTATCGAATCAAATAGAAATCGTCTAAAAAAAAAAATAATAATTGAAATTAGTTTTAAATATCTAATCTTCACAATTATTTAATTTTAAACCGATGTTTTCTAAGATCAATTCTAGGAATATAAAATATTTAAATAATTTTTGCTTTACAATAATTTACAGGATAACTTGTAAAAATTTAATTCAAAAATAATAATTTAAAAAAAATTAAAATTTGAATATTTTAAAATGTCAAAAGTAATTTTTACCAATTCATATCCTTTAGAGAACTTTGTGCAGCACATGGTTGTCGACAAAGAAGAACAACAACTGAATCTGCTTTTGCAGGAATAAATCCAAGAACGAAGACATTTCTCACTGCACATGAATAACATTCAAGAACTGTTTCTCCCAAAGGTCCATCTCTACAAAAATTTCAATTTCATTAATAATTTTTCTTTTAAGAGAATTGAAAAATATTTTTTGAACAATAAAAAAAAGAGTATCGTTAACAAGAGTAATAATAATATAATAAATAATGTTCAGCACATTTTTGAATAGTTAATGAAAAAAGAAATGGCAAAATCGTGTCTTTTTGTCAATTAAAATAAAAAGAATAATTATTAAATTTCACCTGTGCAATGTGACTTCCTTGTGCTTTGCTCGGACAAGATGATTGATAATGTGCGAGCCTGACGTATTTCCTCGACCGTTGCAAAACCATTTGCGACAAACATTGCACATGACGACACACGAGGCTTCATGAATACCACAATATTTACACGCATGTTCTGGTAAATCGCGATTGTAATATGCCTCTTCCTCTTCTTCTTCAAATTGTAATTCCGCGAGTGTTTGTGCTGCCCCAGAGATCTTAAGGTCCAAAGATGATACAACACTGGTTCCATTAACCTACAGTTTAACACAATATTGTGAAATTGTAAAACAATAAATGCAAAAAAAGCAATTTGGATATTTAACAAAAAAAAAAATAAATAAATGGAAAAATCTTATAAATATTCTAGAAACTTATGTAAAACCACCATTATTTGGATGCACTATATAAGTATATACATTCATTATAGTATATGCGACTGTTATTATTATTATTTTATTTTGCTATCAGCTTTGCTTAAATTAGTTTATAACTAACAACTTTTATTTTCTAATTTTGTTACAAATTTTTCTACTTCTTTTTCATCAAGTTTAATTATTTTTCTTTTGTACTTATTTTAGTTACCCATGTTTGGTTCATTTGGACCACGGGAACTGTGTAAATAAATAAATAAATAAAAAAAACAGTTCACAACATTAAAAAAGAATACTTTCTCTAATAATAAAGATCACCTGATATCGTTAACTTCCGGGAAAAATGAATTTATTGACATTTACTCCGAAACTTATCTACGTTTTAAATATTTATCAAAAAGAAACCACAATTTTCGAAAGGGAAATAATAAAAAGTAAACAGAAATTAAAAATAAAGAATTTAAAAGAAACAAAAGATACGATCATATTAAAATGACATAAACTTTTGAGAATAGGAAAAAAAAAGTGAGGTTAAGTTGAAACCGCGTGGGACGAGTATTCGCAGACGATTTTCTTGAACGTTATCATGACGTCCAAGGTTACAAGGAGAATGTATGATAAAGATATGAAGAGATTTCAAGTGTGTAACCTGCACTGGCTGACTTTGTTGGCCCTGGGTTGCAGCATCATGCTGAGAAGCTTGAGTTTGACTTGGCGAGGGTAATGTAAAATCAGTGAAGTCAAATTCGCTGCCTTGTGTATCCGCTCCAATTAAATCTGTTTCCTCTGTGTCGAGGAAGGTGAGGGTTTGACTACTAGGTCCATACGCGTCGACACTCATCTTGTTCTGACCTGTTCTCTTTTTATTTTGATGTTGTGTTGTTGCAAGAAAGAGATACTATGACGACGATCACAGGACTTGGTTTAGAATTTTGTTCCAGTAACCGGCAAATCGAGTGAATTATATGAGTGGCAGCGAATGAACAAGGAAGTTTGCACTGTGACGAAACAAAAATCCTACGCCATACTTCGGTTTACTCCCACCAACATCGACACGAGTACAAGTTTTTACCAGAGATTACGTCATCAGCTGATTTCTGAAACATGGATCATAGAAAATCAAGGTTGATTCGTCGTCGTGTATAATGTTTCCACCCACGTGGTGAACGGGTTTGTTGTTGTCGGTTAGTTCCAACATCTTCCAAAAGAGAACTTTTCTTTTGAAATTCAAAAGTTTCTCTAACAAAAGTTAATTAAAACTGCAAAATTTTATTTTAAATAAATAAAATTTTCATTTTTTTTAGATTTGAAAATAATAATGGTACTCGTAAAATAGTTGTATATTAAACTGTTAACTTTTCATATTCCTCTTTTAATAATTAATAGATAGGAATTTAGAAAAAAAAATTAGATTAGAAGAAATTTATAAAAAGTTGAATATAAGTTAAATACAAATTTTAGATTTATGTAGATTAAATTTAAAAACGTGTATTTTTTATTTTGTTAGTTTAAATGTTTTAAAATTTCGCGCTATTAACTCGATTTTCAGAATGAAATGCGCAGTACAACATGCAACAGTGCCCACGTGACAAATATGAAATTTCTCATTTACAAATAGTTGTCTTTTGTTTCTTAGAAGATGAAAAAAAACTTATTCTAGTTATAGTTTTGAAGGATAATAAATTTAAAACTGTTTTAAGGTATTTTAAATGGTATAAAAATATTTTAAATTAAAATTTTTGAAGAAAAACCTGTTGAAGAATAATGCGCGCGCATACCGGTGAAAATTTATCTGCGCATCTCGATAAGACGCTACTCACACATGCACCAAGAATGATCGCAATTTATTCTCATTCCTCGCTTGTTGCGAAGTAAAGTTAGAGCTCTTTCCTTTTTTCTCATTTTAACTTTCATTTTAAAACGTAAAATTCATTGTTATTACACAGTTTTTAACTTCAAGCTTTAACAATTGCTTACGCGAATTCATTTTAATTAATATTGAACACTAAAAAGGTATTTAAAAAAGTTTTGTGATTATTTTATTCCTCGTGCACGTACCGGTCTTCATTGGAAATTCATTTTTGTTCTTCAAACAATGAATACAGTTGATAAATTTTTAACAAACTGTTGTTGAATATTTCTAATAATATGATTTTAAAGTTTTAATTATTTTTTTTCAAAAAAAGTTTTTAATAATTATTGCTTTTCTAATATAGTTCAAGACATGGCTTATGTCGCAGCCGGTGTGTTAGATCGTACATCTAACGAAAACGGTCAAAAAGAAAATCTTACTAATGGCTCTAGGTAAGGGATTTAATTGTTTAAATTGTATTAAAATAATTAATTATTTTCTTTATGGAAATTTTAATTCTAAAATCATTTTACGTTACATAACCTAAAAAATTTAAGGTTTGAATTAAATTTATAATTTAAGCATTTCATTTTTATTTATTTTTTTTTCCGCTATTATTTATGATATATGAAATCTGTTTTTTTTGTCAATTTCATAATTTACAAATACGTGTATAGGTTGAATATAAACTGTATAAAATATTTCTTTTGTAGGCAACTATACAATTTAGTGATAAACAAAAGAATTCAAGGACTAATGTTTTATATCAATTTATTATTGCGTTTATGTCGATTGTTTAGGGTTTATTAGTAATTGTGAATTTAATTAAATATAGAAAAAGTATTGAGCACGTGTTTGTTCGTATATTAAAATACATATCTAAAATAGGTTATTTATTAAATTAATCTAATGTTAATTATTAAAATTAATTTTATTTAGTTTTTAAACATTGAAATCATGAAATGTTTTAGTATTATATTATTTTTTAATAGTGAGAAAGCAGAGGTCAAATTATACGTTTCTAATTTGCCATCAGAATTAAATGAGGTAAGTTTATGAGACATTTGTATTTTTTTTTATATAAATCTATTTTTTAATATACATATATGTATTAATTTTTTCATTTGAAAGGATGGCATTAAACAAATATTCTGTCAATATGGAGATGTCACTTCTATTTTGTCTCCTTCATCGGCTGATTGGGCCTTTGTTACCTATAGAACACAACGTGAAGCTGTTCTTGCAATAGGCGGCTTAGATCGTAAACCTCCTTTAAATTTAATAGTTGAATTCTCCAGAGGACGACAAACAAAAAATGTAAAAGATTACAGACGCGAAAACGGATTAGCCGTTGATTCTGACAGAGCTCCTAATCCTTATGCACCAGATCACAGAGAATCCAGTGTTTATATGTAAGTTTAAAAAGAACTTTTCCTTTTAGTTTGTAAAATTGAACATTTTTAATTAGTACAACTTTTTAAATTTATTTCAAAATTTTTCTTTATATTCTAAACTTTAATAATAATAAGAATTTTTTTGCAAATAAGTTTCTCTAAAAGAAAATAAATAATTCACTTGTTCATTTCTTTAATATTTTGTTTAATAGTCCACGTAATCACATACCACATCAAAATATGGATATTGGCATTCCGGAAAGATTACGATCACGATACATGATACCTTCTTACGAAGTGGAAGATGATATAATGTACCCAGTAGAAAGTCATCCAAGAACATTAAATCCGTTTGAAAATACTTATCCTTATCATAATACAAATTTACTGTGGACAAGGTGAGAAATTATATACTCAGATTTGTTTAATTAAATTTTGATAAAATTGAATGTGATTATTAAAAAAAAAAAAATTTAATTTGATTTGCGATTTTTGTAAAGTAATTGGTATTAATTTAACAGAGGAGCACTGGGCGTTGCTGATAATGGACGACGACATGTGTACATGGGTCGCGGATATACACGTTACGAAATTCCCAATCATCATCCTCGAATGGAGGATCATTTAACGTCTTTGTATGAAAGACGTGTAAACGTTAGTATTATTTCTTAATAAACAATAAATTTTTGAGAGTTAAAAAAAAATTGATAACTTACTGACGGTATTTATATTTTCAGGGCTTATATGAATGCGGAGTGGATCACATTAGAAACGAAGTGGGCAGATGTTCGCTTTGTGCAAACATAACCAGAATGAGGTGCTCTAAATGCACCGCATTTTACTGCTCCAGAAATTGCCAACAAAAAGATTGGGAGACACATAAAATTGAATGTCTCTCTTTACCGTTAGTAAAGTTTTTTATTTAAAAAAAAAAAAAAAGAATAATACTTATAGATTGGATGATTTTAATTATTTTATCTAATTTCAGAGCCTTAACTGGAGTTCCAAATGTTGTTAATGATTTGCAAGAACGAGTTTCGGTATTAAATCAAAGACAACGAGAAAGATCTGACGCCTCTCAAAAATTGTTGAATTCTCGAGATCAAGAGCAGGAAGCGTCAAATCTTGAACAAAAGTTGAAGGAAAAATTGAAAATTCAACAACCAGATGTAAAAGATGAGGATTTTAATTTTCAAAAACAATTTTTGAAAAAAGACAAATTTATTTCGGTGGAAGTTATGTCAATCATAACAAATTGCGAGTACTATATTCAACGTTCTGAAGACGCTGATAAATTTATTAATTTAATGAATGATTTGAAAACTTCCAATTTAGCACCGATAGCAGAATTAATTGTTGGTTCACTGGTTGCTTGTAAATTTTATGATATTTGGCATCGTGCTATGATTTTATCAGTTGATCCGCTGACTGTACATTTAATTGACTATGGAGTTGATCAAACTTTGAAAGATAATGACATACGCGATTTAGGAAGATTAAAAAATATTCCACGTTTCTCGAGACAAATCTTTATTCAAAATCGAACTGAAGATGAGCCATTAAAGGAGAATGAACAATTGTTAGTTAAATTAATATCGGAGAATGAAAATGGAATATTGATGGTTGTCATTCCACAAGTGGAAAAAGCGTCTTCAGTGAAAAGTGGCCGCAGTTCACAAAATCGTCGTGATTCACAGAGTAGTCATAAATCGGCTAATAATAAAATTGAATCAAGTCCAAAGAAACAGGATAAAGTGGAAGAATCACGTTCTCATTCGCATGTGAAGAGTCCCGCGGGTTCTTCTAAAGGTGAAAAGAGACAAGCGTTTGTAGCAGCATCTGAGGAACCTTCATGTCCAACTGGTAGCATTATAGATCATCTTGAAGCAAAAGATGAAGGTGCAATTGAAATTCATACTCAACTTGGAAAAAATACATTTTCCATTACAATAATTCCTCATAAATTATCGAAATATTATGAAAAGGTTTTGGTTGATTTACCAATATCTTGCAGAGCAATGGCGATAACCCAAAGCTACACGTAAGTATTCATTTTTAATCTACAATTTTTAAATTGAAACAAATTGTCATTTATTTTGGCAATTTGTTCTTTTGGCTTTCAATTATAAAATATTTTGCAATTTCTTTGTTTTGATTCTTTTTATTTCTTTTTAAGAAATTTAGAATTTACCAATTCTATATTTTGTAAATTTCAAATGTTTTTAAAATAAAATTTTAATTTACTGAATTATTTTAAAAAAAATCTTTACATTAAAAATTATTCAAGTACATTGAAATGTAAAAAAAAAAAAAAATGATTCGATTAGTTTCCGTTTCTGCTGATTGAAACAGAAGTCAATTTAAATTTTATTTCTGATTAGATAACGAAATAAAAATCAATGTTATGTTATTTTTTAAATTTACGTCTCTAATATCAAAAACAACACTATAATTTAATTTTTGATTCCGATTTTTAAAACAAAATGTTGAATTTTAATCTAAAACAAAGTATTTACAAACTATTTAAATCTTTAAAGTAGAATATCCTATTAAAAAAAAAATTCTACATCTGAAATTTATTTAGCAAAATTTTTATTTGTGATATACAGTAATTCAATACAACTTTTGTTTTTGTAAAAAATTAAGATGGTTTTTTTTTTCTAGTCCAACCAAAGAAGGAGAAATTGTTATAGGAAAAAGAGCAGATGATGACTGGGTTCGCGGACAAGTTGTGTCACTTGGCTCTCCAATAAAAGTAGCCACAATCGATGAGGGTCGTGTTTGCTTAGTGAACCACTGTCTTGAAGTGCCAGCTGAATTTGCTAAAATTTGTACTTTCGCTGCAACCTGTTCAGTTCATGACTGTAATGAGAAGGTAAATTTTTTTAATTTATTTAAATTAAATTTACTCTTATTAATTGGTTAAATGTATTTTTTTTATATTATTATTTTAAATTGGTATTACTGATTTTTTTTTATTTTCTTCATTTTATACTTTTTAAGGTTTTCAATATATCAATTTACCTTATTTTATTATTAAGTAACAGTTTTAGTAACATTAATCAAATGTTTTACTTCAGTACAAAAAATTAATTCTTTATTCAGATTGAAACTCTACAATACTTTACATTCACGGTGCTTTCTTCAAAAATACAAAATGGTGAGAAAAAATTGGAAATTATGATGACGGGGGAAAATAATTCAACATTCAAAGCTGATTTAACGCAATGGCAACCACCACCTGAACAAATTGGCGTAACAATGCCAGAATTGAAGACCAACACAGAGGTATTTTTTATTCATTAAAAAAATAAATAAACATAAATTTTTTGGTTTGTAATGCTTTTTTTTCTTTACATTTTAGATAATTTTAACAGCTTTTCGCAGTCAATCTCTTCTCTACGTACGCAGCCTTGAGTCAAGTGAAGTTGAGCGTTACAGTAAATTGCAGCAGAATGTTGCAAAAGCGGCTCAGACAGGTCAGTCTTTCTTTTCAATTTTTTTTTTTTTTTACTCTTTTTATCACATTTGTGTTCATTTTAATATTTTTATAAATTGTATTGACGTTTTCATTTCTATTTACTTTTTTTCTTTTATTAATTACAGCTCCAAAATTGAAAAATGTTCCCGTGATTGGCGAAATGGTTTTATCGAAATTCGAAGACAACAATTATTATCGAGCAGTAGTAACTAAAATTGATGGTGAAAAAATCTTCATCACTTATATTGATTTTGGCAATGTTGAAATATCAACGATCAATGGCATGAAAGAAATGCCAATTGAATTAAAACGGGTATGTGTCGAAACATGAGTTTTTTTTTGTTTAAATCTTCAAATTTCTTCAATCTCAAATTATAAACAAAATTACATTATCAAAAATTAGAAATATAAAAAAAAAATTTAATTAATTTTTTTTTATCTAGCAACACTCGGCAACGGTAAAAATTACATTAAAAGGAGTTCCAAAAGACGTTCCAATGACTGAGGATCTTGCAAATTATCTTGCAAATTTCACACAATTAGAGCAACCATTGAAAATGACTTTCGAAGGTTCTCCATTAGATGATGGCGTTGAATTGAAAACTGCATCGCGAGAAAGCGTCAATGAAAAAGTTAAGCAATTGCTTACACCAAATTGGAAAGAGGTGGAAAATGGTAAATTTTCAATTTTTAAATTTAAATTAAAATTAAAATAACATTGTTACCTATTGTAGAAAACTTTTCTTTCTAAATTATTGTGCAAAATTAAGAATTAATTTTTTTTTTTTTTTTTTGTTATAGAGAAAAAATGTTACATGTTAGACGAATTTCCTTGTGTACGTTTGGGAAAAAAAGGTGAAACACTCTCAGCTTTTCTTCTCTTCACTCAAAAACCGGGAATTGAATATTTTATGTGTCCTCTTGACATTGAATTAATATCACACGTTCAAGAAACTCTTCCTACGTTGGTAAGTATTTTCTCAATTTAGCTTCGAACAAATAATAATTAATAAATATTAAATTTTTAAATAAAAATTGTTTTTTTTTTTTAAATAATTTTAGATTCAAAAATATGTTGACACCACGACTGAACCTTATATTCCACGAGAGGGTGAAATGTGTATCGCTCCTTTCCAAGGTGTTTATTATAGAGCCGCATGCTTGTCAAGAGGCTTAGATAAATCAACTGTCTTTTTCGTTGACTACGGTAATCTCGCTGAGGTCGAACACAAAGATTTGAGATTTTTCCCTAAGATGTTTGCAAATCCAGAAGCTCTTGGAACTGTTTGCAGAATTCAAAGTAAATATATTAGTTATTGATGTCAATGAAGTTCACATTTTATAGTCAACGATTTATGAGAAAAACTATTTTTCTAAGCAAACTATAATTTTTTGTCTTAAAAAAATTTTTATATTATTTCTCGATCAACAATTTTTAAAGCAAAATAATTTGTAGGCAAATATTTCTATTATTTTCTGAATAAAAAAAATATAGATTTTTTTTTCAATCGTTGATGATAAACGTAAACTTCACCGACGTACTTATTGATTTAATTTCTTTAATATCCTTATCATAAAAACAAGAAAGGTTATTATTTAGATTTTATATAAAAATTAATTATTTTTTTACTATTTATGTATATATAATTCATTTTTATTTATGTTTTATAACAGATCTAATACCAAAGGAATGCGAGGAGAACATGTCTGAAAAACTTCAAACACGGATTTCGGAACTTTTGAAAGAACAAAATGCAATAAGTATTAAGATTGTTGATATTGATGAAGCAAGTGCTACTTATTTCATTGAAATGCCTGAAATTCGAAACATTTTTCTCAAAGAAAATTTATTTTGAAGTCCTTAGAAAAAAACTAAAAAGTCATCGATTGAAAAAGAAAAAAAAATAATTTTATTTTTTGTACTTGTTAAAAATAAGGGTTTTTGATTGTCATTATTTTTTTTATGGTGAAATTATTCACCGCAATTATAAGAGAAATATTTAGTTTCTTTTCTCAACCAAAAAAGAAAAAAAAGAAGAAAATAATGTTTTAAGTTAACGATTAGATTTTTTTTCCAACTGTTATATTTTAGAATTAAGTTTCATTTTAAACATTTAATTTTGACAATTATAATGTAAGTTTTTATTTTAAGAACAAGTTTTTTAATCTTTCACATTGACGGAAATAACAATTGTTTTTTTTTTTTTTTTTTTTTTACAAATTTTTGATTAATAAATGTAGACGTTAATTTCAACGTCATATATTCGTAAAATATTGTTTTTATTTTGTCATTTAAGAATGAGAAAATTTTTTTTGTATATATTGCTTACTCATAGAGGAAGTATTCATTTTAAAGAACACTATGCTTAATTGGAAAATTTTTCTTCCATTCCTTTCTGGAGGGAATAATAATCTTGAAGATAGGATTAAATTTTATCAGGCAAAAATCTTAATAGTAAAAGCCAATTTCATTTAAACGTTTAAAATTGTTACAATTGTAGAATTATAGAAAAAGTTTATTAACACAGATGTTCTAAAATTTTTACTATTTTCCTATCAGTAGTATATATAATTTTTAGTCAGACAACATATTAAATATTCGTTGAATTTTAGTCTTTGTAGAAAAAGATAATTACAGTCAAACAAAAATTGTCCCTATACTTTTAGTTTCATAAGCTAAATTTTTATTCCCTTCAGTAGTAAAGAGTGGTATTAATCAGACGAGATGATTTACAATTTTTTATAATATTAATACCTAGTAAACGAATGTTTCAGTCAGACGAAAAGTTTCCGTCTAATTTGTCAAACGAAGCGTTTGAAATTGCTTGCAAAGATGACAAATGATTTAATATAAGAAAATGTTTTAAAAAAACTATTTAAATAATAAATTTATTGTTTTTATGTTTAGTTATGTTTTTTAATTAATTAATTTCTTCGCTTCACGGTTTAGCCATATTTAATAAACACCAGTAAATAAGTACCTACAATTTTCGTCAGAAGAAAAAAAAAAAACAGTTTTTGCATTATATACGGTAAATACTTTTAAAGAACTTCTAAAATTATACGTAAGATGGAATTTAAGTCGTCAACTGTTTTACCCTTTTACCTGCTTTTATATCTTAAAGACAAAATATGGTATTTATCAAAAAATTGTTTTATCACACATAAAAAAATACATATTTTATTTTGAAAAAAATTTGTATTTCTATTATAATTACGGTACATGTACTTTATTAATTTTATTTTTTCATTAGTTTTTCAAGTTATTTGATATGTAAGACAAATTGCATATCAATAGGCGCGTAGATGGAAAATGGAATATTGAAAGATCATATTTTTAATACGATTCCTTTTATTTTAATATAATTGTGCTTAATTCTATTATTACATTATTCTTAAAATCATTCTTCTTCTTTTTCTTATTATTATTATTATTATTAACAAACAATTAAAGATTTTTAAATTAATACAATAATATTGTTAAAATCTAAGTACAATTTATATAAATTGTTATTTTTCTTACAAACAATTTGTCTTAATAATTATATTAAATTATAACAAATTTTAACTGATTCAAATTTAGAGAGTCATATATTAATTTTTTATTTGAAATAATAATTTTTAGATTTTAAGATTTAATATTTTTATTACCTACATTTTTTTTATGATAAAAAAAGATGCTATTCAAGTATCTACATATATATATATAGACTTCAGTATAGCAAATAGCATAATAATTTTGAAAATATTGTTGAATTAAATTAAATTTAATTGTGTATTTTTTTAATAAATATTAAAATATAATGTCAAATATTTGAGTGATATTTTATAAATTAAGAGGAAGAAAGGAATAAGAGAAAGGTGCCAATGCCACAAGAGATTTGCGTATTTTTTTTTTTAATTTTTTTACTTTATTGCAAGAAGAAAGGAAAGACAGCACGTTGAGTATAATGTCACGAAGATTAAAGAATTTTTTATTATTTATGGTGATAGTACATATATATATATATATATATATATATAAAATATTTGAAGAGAAAAACTTTCCTTTACGCAACCAAGTATTTAAGACCATAAGATATAATACACTATAATTTTAGCATAGACGCGTGTTTTTTTTTGTTACTTTTTGTTAACAGTTGTGCAGCAACCCCTCAATAAATTTTCATTTAGTTGAACGAAGAATGTTATATATATATATATTTTGGTTATTAGTTTGTTGGAACAAAAAAGTAATATATCTACTTCAAATTATAGAGTCTTTATATATTTTCTCGCAGAATTTTAATAAATTACATTTTATTCATATGGGCATTATTTTTTCCTCTAGAATTTATGTTGGAAAATTGTATTTGGCCATATATATATAAACATGTTGTAATAATATATTGAAATTTGCCAATTTTGTGCTATAAATAAAAATATTTTAATTTCATAACAAGTGCGTGTTGCATTTTAGACGACTTTCTTGAAACATCGCCGAAATGCGCGCCTGAATTTTTAATAAGTCAAGGTGATAATTATGTCACTTTAAATAGATTAATTAAGAAAAAAAGAAAATATTGTGGAAAAATTTTTTCTATAAACTATTATTAAAATAAAAATTAAATAAATTAAATAAAAATTTTATTTTGTGCTAAATAAATTTTTTTTTTTATTCAAATAAAATAATAAGTTTTTAGGCTCTGAGACAAATATATTTTTATTTGTTTCAAATAAATTTTATTTGAATTAAATATGAATTTTATTTGCACTAAATAAAATTTTATTTGTGCTGAATTTTGTTTATTTTTTTAAAAAAAAAGTTATTAGACTCTGAGACAAATATATTTTTATTTTGCTTGAAATAAAAATGTTTATTTGTCTCAAATAAATGCCAATAAAATATATTTCTCTGAGAGGTATATACACAACTCTATTATATATGTAAATTACTTTTATAATGAATAAATTTATATCTTGATGAGATATATTTGAGCATTTTTTTGCAAATTGATATTATTATTTATTTATTTATTTTTTTTTTTGAAATTACGTCATGATTTTCAAAGTAGGTGACCACGGACGCTACCGGGTGAAAGCAAGGGTCAGTCTAAAGGCCGCAGAATATTCTAACATACTGAAGCAACTCTAAACGACTAAATATGCACGTATATGTGAATTTACCGCACATTTATGACTTGAAGCCTTTTTATGGTGGTGGTGATACATAACGCATTAATACGATTAAAAGAGCAATCAAATTTCATCTTTTTACATAGCATATATATCATTAGGGCATGGGTCAATATATGTAATTATTTATTTTATGAGAGAGAATCAAAAAACAAGAGTAACACAATTATAATGAAATTCTCTTTCATCTCATTATTGAATCAATTTACCGTGACCCTTAATATATTTCTCTATTAAGTTGAAACAAATTGACCAACATTCCATTATAATAAAATTGACTTTTATACTGTCAAATCCGCGTATATCATTTTTAAACTTATATTTCTTTTTATTTTTTATTTATAAATTAAAAAATTTTTTAAATCAATTAAAAAAAAATTAAAAATTTATTTTTCAATATAGGTATATTTTTTATATTTTTTTATAGAAATTAGAATTTTTAATTATTTTTATTAAGAACAAAAAAAAAAATATTCCTCTATTTTAAAGAATAAGCTTTTTTTTAATTCAATATTTTTTTATTTCAATAAACTTATGTCTTTCGATGTAAGAAATAAAACAAATATTCTTTTTTTTTTTAATTTCTGTATAAAAGAGGAGAAGCAAAAACTTATTCTACTTTCAAGGAAGAAAATTTTTTTCTAAAAAAGAAGAAAACTAAAAAAAGATCTTCTAGTTATTTTTAAAAAAGAAGTTTTCTTCTTTTAAAGAGTTTGTATAAAAAAGAAGAAAACTAAAAAGATCTTTTAATCATTTTTAAAAAAGAATGTAAGTTTTCTTTTTTTTTTTAATTCTTCTTTAAAAAAAGAAAAGTATAAATACTCAGAAATAATGAATGAACGTTTATATATCAGTGACTAAAAACCTGTTCACGTAAATTATTATTATATACACGCATAATACAGAAGTCCAGTTCTAACGAGCCGTGTATTCACAGAATCATCTTTAATACGTTGTAATAATTTTCCGAATGAACTATTCATGTTATGATTATGTCTTTTGTGAAAACACCTTATCTCTATAAATTATAGCAGTATTTGCGATTAAGTACAATATTAATTGCACTTATATATATATATATATATATTATAGTTATATATATTGAAACAAAAAAATGTGTCTAGACTTATATTTAAAATAATGAAAATAATATTCATCAATATTATAATTTTTATTTTTTTAAACTATCATAATAAAAAATTAACTAATTAAAATTAACAATAACGTTTTAATTTTTATTAATATAAATATAATTCCGATTACGAATTATTAATATAAATTTTATATTTATAAAAAATTTTTAATCGTTTATAGCACATTATAACAAATTAAAAATATAATAATAATAATTTTAATTGCTTCGAATTTTTAAATGCTAGAATTTTCATTTCACCGAATTTTAATTTTGTCCAAATTTTTATTTGTACGAATTGTTATATTACATAGAATTCTTAAAACGCCAAATTTTGAATTATTCCAAATTGAAAATAACTAAAGAAAAATAATCAACAGAAAGATTTTGGCGAAATTTGGCGAAATAAAATTGATCAATTTTAAATTATCCTGAAAAACGTGAGTGGTCAATTTTAAAAATCGCGCCGAAATCTTTCTGCAGTATATATTCGATCATTTGTAATTTCGAATACAAAAATTCGTATAGGTATTTCAAATTCAGCTGAATGAGAATTATGCAAAATTAAAATTCAATTAAATTAGAATTCTTTTTAATAAATAAGTTGGGTATAAATAGAAATTTTGTGAAATAAAAAATTCTGCTCCAAAAATAATAAAAAGAATATATTTTGTTTTCTTTTGAATTAAATTATGTTAAAAAGCGTGTGAATAATCCTCTCTGTGATCCACTTAATTTTTTCTTACTCTAAAATATGGGTGTGATCGTGCCTAATTTTAGAAAACATATTGGAGGAATATTCATTAGAAAAAAAAAAATAGATTTATACATACTTCTTCTTTCTCGTGTGTCCTAAATACAACTAAAATTGAGTGTGTTTGTGATGTCACCATTTTCATGAAACAAATTCAATCGCTGATGTTAAATCAGATGTTTTCATCGAACTAGGAAGTTTGCTATTCCCTCGCTATATATATACATTATATACATATTGAGAATCAGAATCACGAACACTTTTCACCGCGTGTTACGACTTCTAATCAAAAAGACAAACATGCAGGTCATCTTGGTCAAGTTGCACAATTTTCAATTTTCTATACAAAATATATTAGCATAGGTATTTCTGTAAAGTGCATCTATATTCACTTTTTAACACCGTCATAAATTTTGTCCCGCCGTAACAATCGACTATAATATAAATGTTTGAGATATAATGAAAAATCAAAGATTAAAAGTAAAGATCTAAAAAATCTTTTTTATTTATAAATATATATATATATATATTTGAGAATGAAACTAAAAACATTTTTTCAAAATTCGAAAGTTACAAAAATTAGGTTTTTCCATTTTATCATAAAATTCATAAAATAGAATTAACATTAAATCGAATTTTTATTTTTACATATATCTATTTCACAAAAATTCTATATTAAATTAAATTTTCCATTTAATTTCGTTTTTAAATTTGAATTTTTATTTTCCCAAAATTTCTATAAATTTTGACAAATTTCCATTTGGATTAATTTATCAATATTTCATCTAATTTTCATTCGAACTATAAATATTTACGCAAATTGAGTTAAATACTGTTATTCGATTAAATATTGAAATTAGATCAAATAGAGATTGAGTTAAATAAAAATTCAAAACTGGATAAAATTAGTCTATCAAAAATTCGGTTAAACAAAATTTTGGTTAAATGTTTATTCGGTTAAATAAAAATTCAAAAATGACTAAATTTAGTCTATCATAAAAATTGTATATTTCAAAAAAAAATTCGGTTAAATATGAAAATTTGATTAAATGAAAATCTTTAGAAATTAAAATTTAATTAAATAGAAATAAATTTTTTTTTTTTTTTGTTAAAAATAGGAAAAATTTTCTTATATTCTAAAGTATAAATTTGTGTTTGAAGAAGATATAGGTATTTAGTAAATACTATAAAGATCCTCTGAAGCGTTTTTATGACCGTTGTAAATTTCACTTTTATCATTGTTTTCTTCAATCAGTGTTTCTTCTTTTGTCTATATAATATAAAAGATTTACAAGAAAGAAAAGTGATTACATTAAAATTGTAAAAAACTATTTCTTGTTTCGGAAGCAAAGCTTTGCGGTTTTTAAAATGTTTGAAAACATTAAAACCTTCAAAATAAAATTTATTATTTATCTTTATTATCAAAAATTGAGACGTTTGAAAAGTGTTTGTTTAAATTATAAGAACTAATTATTAATTAAATTAAATAATTATAAATAAATTTGTCACTTTTCTCTAAATTAATTAAAAAATATAGTATATTTTTTGTTGAAATTCTCTAAATGAAACAAAATTTTTCTTAAAATTGAATATGAACCTTAATTAATTATTTAACTCAAACGCGTTTTACATAATGATCGATGATTGTAAATTCTCCAAAATTCTGAGAAACTTTCAATCAAGATCGTTGGCCTGTGATTCATCCCAATCTATATATATATATATGTATATGGAAAGTGCATTTTCGATTATAAAACCGCACCCAGTTAATAAAACACGTTTAAAAACTTATTTTATTTGCCAATTTCTTATAAGTTAATATGTAATCATCTTAAAATAAAAGAAGTTATGTGCAATATATTCCATAACCATAATGTAAAAAATTTTGAAATGTAAAATCTATAAAAAAAAAAAAAGAAATGAAAGTTCATATATAAGATCTTCTAATTGATGATTTTTGATTAATGATCTTTCCACGCCTTTATTTAAAAACTCTTTGCTGAATTCAATATCGCGCACATATATGATAATGATGGTCATATAAATAATTTTTTATATTATAAATTGTATATATAAAAAATGCAACTCTGAAAACAGAGAAAGAAAGTTTGCCTTTCAAATCGTGTCAAAGTGCGAAATCAAATTGTTAATTACAATCATTCTTATAAATGTTGAATTTACTTTTCTTTCGTATTGAAAATTATTTAAATACCTTTAAAAAATGATCCTTTTGAAAGAAATTGAAATTAACGATACTGTTAAAAAAAAAATAATTTATTTTACATTGAAAAAAAATTTATTTGATTCAAATAATAAATACTTGATTATTATCAAATAAATATTTCCTTGAACCAAATAATTTTTATTTGTATTAAATAAATTCAACCAATAACTTCTGTATTTGAAACAAATATCCATTTAAAATTGACTTAAATAATAAATATTTAATACCTACAATTAAATATATATTTATTTGATAATATAGTCAAGTAAAATCTATTATTTGAATCAAATAAATTTTTTTTTCAGTGTAATTCAACTTTTTTTTATTTCTCTCAAAGAAAAGTAAAACTTGTTGACGGTAATATTTATAAATCACTGATATAATATAATTTCACGTACTTTATAAATCCTTTGGTGAATTAATTTAAAAATCACTTTGTATTTCATTTTTGAACACTAATTCTGAATATATGTGACATCGAAAAAAAAAAGATATAGGTCCCCTCTGGAAATTGAAAAGTATATTACTTTCAAATTCATTTCATATTTAATATATCTGCCAACAAACGACTCACAGCTTCTCGACGCAGTAACTTTCATGTAGAATTCAAAATTAAATCATATCTTATACAAATTAAGCTGACAACAAACTTCCTTTTTTATTATAGTTATCACTTTTAGTTTCTTGACACCTCAATTTTTCATGTCTCTCAAAATATATAATGCTTGTTCGTTAAAAAATTATATTTAGCACACTCAGAGAAAAGTTTTGTTTGAATTAAAAATATATCATTTTTTTTTTGTATTTACACAAATTTTTTTCTTATTTTGAACAAAAATTTGTTTGATATAAATAAATATTTATTTCATATTTTAAATAGATATAAATTTATATTTTAAATAAACATTTGAAATTTTTCCAACGAAGAAAGAATTTCATTGAGATAAATAAAAAATTTTTTTTATTCAACCAAAAGTTTAATTTAGAAATGCAACACTCAGAGAAATGGTATATTTGTCTCCGAGCCTACTAACTGATTTATTTGTTGCAAATATATTTTATTTGATTTAAATAAAAAATTTATATTTGAGCCAAAGAAAAGTTTACTTTTGATAAATAAAATTTTTATTTACGCCAAATAAATAAGTTAGTAGGTTCTGAGACAAATATACGTTTATTTAACTCAAATATATATTTTATTTGATTCAAATAAATCATTTTTCTGGGTGAAAAAATTTATTTGATTCAAATAATTGGCTATTTATTGACTATTATCAAATAAATATTTATTTTTGTCAATTATATTTATTATTTGAAATGGTATTTGGTTTGGTATCATATTTTGTTTCAAATACAGAAATTATTGTTCCAAATAAAAATTATTTGGTTCAAGTATAAATATTTATTTGATAATAGTCAAGTAACCGATTATTTGAATCAAATAAATTTTTTTTTTTTTAGTGTATTATAAACAAAAAGTTGTAAACATAAAAATTCGTTCAATTGAAAATTCAAATCTACAACAAATGGAAATTTGGTGAAAATAAAATTTGGTTAAGTAGAAATTAAATTGATATTTAAATAAAATTTTTTTTTCCCGGGCAGCAAGATTCAAAAATAAACGGTCAAGTTTTATTGTCTCTTCTTTACTAATTGTATAATGAATCATTCATGTGTGCGTTTAGTATATCCCAAGTGTAGCGAGGACGTTCCGGTTTTTGAAAGAGGCCGACGAGCGACCTTTCGAAAGCGTTTTTTTTTTTTGCTGGTATGTATTAAAACCAAAAAAAAGAAGAAAAAAATAAGGTTCCTGTGAAAGTTGCCTCGTGGCAGCAAGCACGCGGTCCATCCTTTTATATATATATATATATATATATATATATATATATATATATATATATATATACATACACCAATCAGGAAGGAATCAGCCTGTCTACTACTACGCATAAGTCGTTTGTTACATCTTCGAATATGTTTCTAAGTGAAACGCTCATGTTGAAAATCACGCGGAAGCAAAAGTATATATGTATAGGTTGTATATAAGCCATCGTCCCAGAGATGGGATTAAATTAGCTTATCTTTTTTTTTTAATACCTTTTGGCCCCTCGTTAAACGTCATTCTAGGAAAATCGCTTTCGCTACTCGCTTGTGTACCACCACTATACAGATGATGACCAACGATGACCCCGTAGGCACTCAATAAAACGATTCTCATTTCCAAAAGAAACTTTCCCCAAGCTCATTATACATGATTTTATTTTTCACTAATATATAATCTATTGACATTGGCTCACATATTTTTTATTCATCAAAAATATATTTGCGCCTATATATCCATGTAATATTAAATTTATTATTGGTTTACTTATTTAAAACAAAAAAAAAAATTACTTTTATTTCTATTAAAAATTTAGTTATATATTTGTTTAACGTGTATATATTTTCATTTCAAAATTATATAATCCTTTCATTTTTAAATTAATAATCGACAATTTCTCATCTGAGAATATTTCACCAAAAAAAAAAAAAAAAAAAAAAAATGTCATTATCCACACTGATGATGAGACTCGGCAAGAAATCGTGTTCTCACTTCACTTTACGCCTCTTCATAGGGAACAGTGAAAGTTTCCCCACGATCATCTCCAAACACGGAAGATTCTTACAGATACCATCTGCTTGAACTCACGAGGTCAAATTTCCCCTCAAATTATATATTGTATATTCCTTTGCATAAATTTTTTTTTCTTTGCTAAATTTTCTTGTCATTTGAAAATATAGCAAAAAAAAAAAAAAAAAAATTGCCAGTATCGCGCCATTAATTTCCGATAGGATTGGTTTATTGGAAGGATAGAGAAATAAGATAACAAAAAAGTATTTTATGTAAAAAAATACATAAAAAAATGCTTTATTTCGCCACCGTTTTCTTGCAAAAAATATATAATATATATATAAAAAAACTCCGCATCGTCAACATCAGCATCATCATCATTAACATTATTATTATCATCATCATCATCATCATCATCATCAAGTAGCATCGTCGTGCGTTCGCTCATACTATAGTACAGTCGTATTAAAGTAGAAAGACGTAGATCTTTTCGGATCGTCATTATTTTACAAATTCTCGCGTCACATGTACGTGGTGTGCTTGTGTGTGCGTACGTGTACGTGGTGATTGTGGGGTGATTGTGACAATAGTGAACGGAGAAGGATAGAGGGCAAGGAATGATAATTGACTAGTAGGGGCCGGATGCACCGGGTGGTCCATAGCTTCCGCTTGGTCCACTTGGTCCTGTTCCACCGATTCCACTGCCTCCATGTCCACCGTCACCAAGACCACCAATACCAGATCCACCGCCAATTCCAGATCCACCACCAATTCCTGATCCTCCTCCAATTCCTCCAATTCCACCTCCAATTCCGGATCCACCACCAGACACTTCCTTCTGTAAAAATTTTATTCTTTTTAATTTTCAATTCTCTCTATTGTTATTCTAATGTTGTTATATATCAGGAAATCAAAAGAATTAGGCAAATAACTGATTCGTGAACGACTTTCGTAAACACGTATTGCATGAGATAGAAAAGAACAGAAGTATATTTCTATCCTTTTTCATATCACGTTTGTGAACCTATTGTGATTGAGGCTTTAAAAACTCATTGTGGTAATTAGTGAAAATTACTTCATATACTTCACATGGTTCTTGAGTTTGCGAAATACGTCTAGACCAATGAGGTAATGGAATTTGTGAAAGGTTTTTAGGTTTTATATATGTTAAACCAATTAGGTTCTGATATTCGCGAAACATAAGGTAGAAGAAGATACACTGAGAAAAATATTCTATTGAATTAACAGCATTTCTGCTAAAGGCATAAAAATTATTGATTCTGAAGCATATATGCTATAGAATTTGTAAAATATTATATATAGATTCTATAGCATATGCTTTTGAATCAATAATTTTTATTCCTTTGGCAGAAATGCTGTTAATTCAATAGCATATTTTTCTCAGTGTAGATATTTTTTGTGTTCTTTACTATCACATTATATATGCTTCAAGGCCTTCCTCCAATAGGGTCTAATGCATTACGATTATGATTTTTGCCAATAGCTGTTGGGATCCTATTGGAGAAAGGCTTTTATGTATTTCTCAGAATCTATATACACTCAGTGAGAAACAATTTTGTTCCAATTAGGTTCCTAATTCGTTTTTAGAACAATGTATTTTATTTTCCAATTGAACGACAGAATTAGAATTGAACTCCATTTTATCAAATGGATGTTAAGTTAGCTATGCAATGGATTATCTAAACTTTCTTCCGTTTGGCTAAAAATATTAAGTACACTTCAAAAATTATGAGTATTCTGGAAATTTGTCAGAGGTTTCACTAATTTTGATTGGCTTTGCTCATAGAGAATTTCGAAATCTTCCAATCTTTTGAAAATTCTCTAATGAGCAAAGTCAATCAAAAATTAGTAAAATTCAGAATTTGTGAGGTGTACAAGAGCCTTTACAACTGTAGCATTTTCAGCAATGCTATACAGAATTTGTGTCATTAACAGAAAATTTCTTTCATAAAGTCCATAAGGAAGAATTAATTTTGCAAATCAAAAAAATTCTCTCTCTCTCTCTCTTACCTGGGTCTTGTACTTGATGAAGTAAACTTCGGGTTTGCTGGGTTGAGTTGGTGTGATTGTGGGTAAATTGATTTCTGGAGCCTCTTCGGGTTTCTTGACAAGCACATAGATGAGTGTCTTTTGTTCGTCTTGTTGGAAGGCGGGAATTACTGGAGCAGTTGGAGTTGGTGGAGTTGGTGCCTTGATGAAAATGATTTTATAATGTTTCTGCGATGGCGCAACAGGGGCAATTGGTCTGATTGGACGATCCTCGGGTGCCTCTGGTGGAGGAACATGAACGTAGATGTGCTTTTGAATGAGGGAACCACCTCCAAAGCCACCTCCAAATGATGATCCACCGCCACCACCGCCAAAGGATCCACCACCACCACCACCGTGTCCAAATGATCCTCCACTGCTGCCACCACTGAAACTACCGCCTCCAAATCCACTTCCACCTCCAAATCCACTACCACCTCCAAGACCACTTCCACCACTGAAACCACCTCCGTGTCCACCGCTCAATCCTCCTAATCCACCTCCAAGACCTCCCAAACCGCCTCCAATGCTTCCAAAGCTACTGCCGCCACCACCACCACCACCGCCACCGCCTCCGGGTGCTCCATAGCTTCCACTTGGCTGATTATAGGAATACCCGCCTGGCGCTTCCGGTCGCGCCATCGCCACAGTGGCGAGCGCTAATATCTAAAACAATTTCAAACATTAGATTAGAAATTTTCTTTTTTTCTTATTAATTTTTACTTTATTCTTTTTTTTTCAATAATAAATTAATAATAATAATAATTCTTAGACACTTATTAGCGACTAAATTAAAAAAAAAAATATTTATCTCAAAACTAAATAAATATTTATAAAAATTATGATTATAATAAAATATGTAATATTATATTATGTTATCTATATTAATTATAAAAAAAACAAACAAATATTTATAATTTTTAGTTTAACAAACATTTTACCCTCAAGAAATTTTTTTATTCTAACCAAATATAATGTATATGAGTTATAAATAAAAAGTAGAATTTTTCTCAGAGCTAAATATATTTACTTTAACTATTAATATTTATAACTAGTTGTTGAAATAAAAAATTTTGTTTCACACACAAATAAAATTTTTATTTGAACTAAATAAAATGTATTTAAAGCAAATAAATATTTATTTAAAATAAACAAAAACTTTACTTGCGTGAAACAAAATTTTTAATTTAAACAAATAAATAGTTCTATATATATTTAGCTATTAGAAAAATTCTTATTTTGTTTATAATTCAAATACATTAAATTTGGTAAAAATAAAAAATTTTGTTGAGTGTAAAATGTTTGTTAAACTATTCTTTTTGGTTAACATTTTAATCGCTAATAAGTCTGCAAAAGTTATTTTCTACGTTAAAAAAAAAAAAAAAAATTATTTGATCCAAATAATCGGTTACTTGACTATTATCAAATAAATATTTATTTAATTATTATCTGAGTTAATTAAATGGTATTTGTTTCAAATATATAAATTATTGGTCCAAATACAATTTATTTAATTTAAATAAAAATTATTTTCTTCAAGTAAATATTTATTTGAGAATAGTCATGTTTTTAAAAATTTTCTTTTATAATTTGAAAATTTTTTACTCGTATTAAAAAAAATTCTTTTTTTGTTTCCTTATTCGTTGAATAGAAAAATGTCACAATATTTTATATTTCATATTTATATCATAATTTTAGTTTGAAATTATATGAAATTAATAAAAATTTTAAGCCACAATAATTTCATTTTTGCAAAATTAATCTCACGATTTTAATTTGAAATTAAATGGAATTAATAAAAATTTCAAGCCACAATAATTATTATTTTTGCAAAATTAATCTCACGATTACAAATTAAATTGAATTATATAATTGAAAAACTGAATAAATTTTTTTTTTCATAATACATTAAAAGTTTTCTTGTAAAATATATATAAAACTTGTATTTTATTTATTTTTATAAACTTATTTTTTATATAAATTTTGCATTTACAATGAATACATCCGGAATAAATCACTTGTTAGCTATACACAAAAATATTATAAAAAGTATATTCCAATGCCTAATATATAAGTATAAATAATAATTTTCACATTTTCAATTTCTCTCGCGTTAAGGAGGTGACTTTTTTTTTTTTTTGACATTAAATCACAATTTTATTTCGACTTTCGAATCACACAATTTTTTTTTCATTTTCGAATTGAAAAACTGTTAAGGAACTGTAACATTTTTTTTTTTTTTAAATATTTTATCATTGATTGTCCGTCAACTTTTCGAAAATCACCAATCACCGCGAGCACACATATATCGATTCGAAACCGGTTCGCACGAACGTGAAATGGATTAGCACAATTATTATTTTAAAAGAAGAATAAAGAAGAAACACGATAAGCATCTCTCGGTCACGAGGTTTATCTTTCTTCTTTGTGGCTTGAAATCCTCTCTTTTTTTTTTCTTTTTTCTCTTTCTCGTCATATTCGTAAAAAAAGGTGTTCCGTATTTGAAGATTCAACAGGTGAATGAATTGATGAGGAGTTTATATGTCGGATTTAATGAGTGGAAGAAACTGAGGTCGCGTGTGGTATACACTCGTGTTGAGGAGAGAAAAGGAAAGGAGAGAAATGTAAGAATGAACGTGTATGCGAGAGTTGTGTGTATTTTTTTTTTTTTTTTTTTTTTTTTTTTTTTTTTTTTGAGGGAAAGGAGGAAGGATGTTTACTCACCACGAATGCCCTCATGGTTGCTGCTGTTCCTTGATTTGAGGACTGATGCTCAGTGGATGACTTGAGGCCCCCTTTTATACGGGCCAGCATTGGCCCCACTCAACTCGACCCATCACCTATGAGATGCGACCGTCCTATTGCAATTCTCTCCTTCTTAAGATATCTCCAGTCAAATTTGTTTCTGCACCCCCTTTTTACCTTCACTATATTTTGTATACAATATAGTATAAAGCCTCTAACGTTTACCCTCAAGCTATATTAAAAAAAAAAAAAAAAACTTTATTGGCTAGATTCTTCTCAAACTGAAAAAAATCAAATTTATTTTACTGTTTTTTCTATTATTTTTTTTTAGATAAACATTCTTTTTTTATGTTGATTAAAGCAAAAAGTTATTTGATTTAACTAAAGCCTTTGGTTTATTTTAGTGAATTACATGAATGAAAAAACTATTTTTTTGAAATTGTCAAATAATTCACCTGAAAATTTTCAAAAATCAAATTTCTTTTATTGTTCTTTTACATTATTTTTTATGCTGTTTAAAATAAAAATTTATTTGATTTAACTAAAGTCTTTAGTTTATTTTAGTGAATTAATTGAAAGAAGAAACAATTTTTTTGCGAAATAGAGTCAAAATAGTTCTAAATTAACTTTATATCATTAAAATAATTTAATTTGACATTTTAATATTGTCTTAAAATAAATGACAAAAATTAAGAAAATTAACTTAAAAAACATATTAGATGAATAACGCTTTTTCTATTCGTTCTCGTGAGTTACGCATTTTGTATTTGCACTCGCGAATAATACATTTTCATTTAGGAGCCGTCGAAAATGTGTCTCAATGCCAAATAAATATTTATTTGATTCAAATAAATTTTTATTTTATTTAAATAAAAATTTTATTTAAATAAAAATTTTATTCAAATAAAAATTTTATTTAAAACGAATAAAATTTTTATTTACGCCAAATAAATAGAATGTTCCGCTCAGTGACAAATATATATGTTTATTTAACTCAAATATATTATATTTGGTTCAAATAAAACATTTCTCTGGATGTAGAATGTGGTGCTTAAAAATAATTTTTCTTTTAAAAAAAACTTTTTAAAATAAAAATTTTTTTAAAATAAAACTTATTTTTAAATACCATATTCTCCAAGATAATATTTTTTTTTTTTTAATTAACCAATCGTTTAATTAAAGGAATCAAATGTTTGACTAAATTAGCCAACCATTTTGATTGAATGAGCCAAATGTTTAAGTTAGTCAAATAAATATTTAACTCAAAAAACCAAATGTTTGGCTTTTTTGGGAAAATTTTTTTGAATGAAGAAATAATTTCTCTTATTAATCAAAAGCTTGATTACCGGAACCAAATGTTTGACTTAATCAATCAAACATTGAATTAAATGAACCAAATATTTTATTTAATCAAATAAATATTTATTTGTAGGAGCAAAATATTTTGATTCTTTTAGTAAATTATTTGAATGGAGGAACATTCTTTTTTTTTTTTTTGAATAAACCAAACGTTTAATTGAGAAAATCAAATATTTGGTTTGTTTTATATTAAATTTTTAAATGAATAAACAATTTTTGTTGACTTAACTAAAATATTGAATAACAAACTTTTCTTCGATTTTGGAGAAATAAAAAATATTTCATTTAGTTAACCAAATATTATGTGGATTAAATCAATCAAAAGATTTGGTTTAATGCTTTTAAAGGTTTCATAAAATTTTCAGTTCACAAATTATTATTAAAAAATTAATAAAAAATTATTATTAGTTTTATTAGTTTTACTTTATTTTATAACTTATTTGAAACAATAAACATTTTTTTTTATTCCAGTGGCTAAACATTTTATTTTTCATTGCATTAGTTACTTCATTTACTTTTTTATGCTAATTATATAGGTATAATGAAGAAAAGAGTGTTTAATAAATTTTACTGAAGAGTTTTACGATTTAGGGAGAAAGTGTCAAAAAGCGAAATTTTCATACTATATTCTAATTTCATGTAGGAAAATACTCGTGATACATATATATATATACACGTTAGACTTTAATTATTATTCTGTTGAAAAATGTTTATTTATATTAATTTTTTATTTTATCCATTGGAATAATTAATTTTCAAAATGTTATTAAGCATTTACAATTTGATACAATTTTTTTTTTAAATTATTAAATAAAATAAATTGATTAATTAATTAAATTACCTAATGCAATATTGTTTATTTTATTAATATTTTTTTTTTTATAAAATTTTCATTTTTTAAATTTATTTTATATATTTAGAATATTTAAAAACCCTTATTTGAAAAATGTGAAAAATTTGAAGAATATCCATATTTGAAAAATTTGAAGAGATGCACGGTTTCAGATTACTTTTACCTATAAATTTAATTTTTCGAGAATTAGATTTACTTTCTCCTGACTTTCATCATCTTTGTTTGATCTCTTAATTAACAATTAATTGTAATCTTGATCTATTGTATGATTTTATTTGAGGATACTTTGTTTTAAACGCAGTAACAGATATTACAAAACAGATCTTTATCGAGTAATTTATCTTTCTGAGCATTTAGAATGATTCTTGTCTATATAATTTTAAAATGTTGAAACATATCATATTTTCCGGATTGAATTTGAAAAAAAATATTCTTCATTTAATTATTATTTTAAAACTATTAACTTATTTAATAAATAAATATATATTTTTTCAAAGTTATTAAATAAAATTTTTTTTTTATTTAATAAATAAATATATTATTTAATATTGAGTTATTAAATAAAATTATACTATGCAGATTAATTTTTAATTTTTTTTATTGTTATAATTGTTTACACAAAATTTGTTCCACACAGTATGTATATTCAATTCGAAAGTAAGATGGTAAATTTATCTAATTTTTCTTTTGTTTGATAATGAAAAAAAAAGTTTAATTTGAAATTTAAATATTTTATAAATTAAGGTCTTCTTCTTTTGTCCCATTTTGATATTTATACATTGATGAATTAGAAATTCAAAAAAAATCATATATGCATTGATAATTAAATTCCTTTTAGGGTAATTTATGTTAGTTATAGCTTCTATTTTTTGAGTTTTTAAAGACACTTTCTCTTTTCTTTGATTTTATTAACATTAATAGATATAGTTAATGTACATTATTCACAATTTTATATTCATAAGTATTCTTTTAAAAATCACAAACAATTTACACTTAATGAGTTGAATTTTTAATTTAATAATGAAAAATCTTATATATATATACAATATATTATAAAGAAAAACTGGAATAATAAGGTCTATGCGGTATTAAACTTAAATTCTGAGAAATCTTATTGGGTTACAAAAAAGTCATTTACTATTTAAAAAGAATTTCTTTATGACAACATTATTTTTCCAATAATATCTTTTGAGTTATAATACTTTCTTGTGTAAATTACAAATGTAGAAAATTGTTCACAATTGTCTTAAAATTTATGACTGTCAATTTTGTCAAACGACTTTCCAATTTCCAATAATTCTTTGTCAACCAGGATAAACAACTTGCCAATAATAATTTTAACAATTTATATAAGTTATATAATCGCTTATGCAAAAAAAAAAAAAAAAAAAAATTATGAAAATGACATAAAAGTAAATGAAAACTCCCCACATAAAAATATATAATAAATGTATATAAAGAAATTAAAATGCGAGATAATATAATTATTAAAGAAATAATAAAAGTAAAGCGAAGAAATAAGAGAAGTTATTTATATTATTAACTTTATATATTTGTATATAATAATAATAATTATTATTATTATATAAAATAGATAAAAAAAATTTTATTGACATCCGCACGGAAAAAAAGGAATTGTTAACTGATGTTTGCTATCAGATTTATGAAAATTAGTCACCACAGCTAAATTTTTTGCTATGACAACGAAAAAGTTTGCTGTGATAAACAATATAAGTTTTAAAAATTTACTGTCACAGCAAACTTTTTTGTCCCCACAGCAAATTGATTCGCTGTCCATATATTATTAATTTAATGTGACAGCAAATAGTTTGCTGCTACAGCAAACTTTTTTTATGTGTGGGTATAAAGAAAATCTTTTGTGTAGACTAAAAAAAAATATTATTATTTTTTAAAAAAATAAAAACATGTATTTATGGTTTTAATTTTCTCAAAATAATATATAATTATATAAAATAAAAATTTTTCATAAATTGTTTTTCTTTTATAAATTTTTTATAAATTAAAAAAAAAATTCAATTTGATGACAACTTTTGCCTGTCCCATAAAGGAATAAATAATAATAATAAAAAAACAGACATTGACTCCATCGAGGGCTTGAATCCTGCATGATATAGCAATATATCTTTACGTCCTTTCACTAAATTTACAAGACCTGATGTTACAGATCGTTAAAGGGTTAAGGATCGTAATCCGTCTTCCAAGGCCAAGAATAATGTCATAATCTGTTGTTACTTGTTACGCTTCTCTTGTTTTCAAGAAACAATTTGATAATAGAGTATAATGAACCTTCCGTAATATTTTTTTTTTTTTTTTTGGTAATGTAAATTCTCTTTTGAAATTACTATAATTGCTATAAAACTTAATATAACTTAAAAATTTTTCAATCAACAAAAATGAAAAAAATTAGCAATTTTTAAATTCTTATTTGAAAATTTCTGTTAATTTTTGAATTCCTGATTAATTAACAATTAATAATTCGATTATTTAATAGAATTTTTTTTTCAAAAAACTTTTACTTTTGAAATTGCAAAAATATTTTACAATTACAATTTTTAATAAGTTGTTAAATTGGAGATTTTTTTTTTATGAAAATTATATTCAAAAACTAGAATTATAAAGAATTTTATAAATTGTGATGAGTAAAAATAAAAATTTATTTATTTTGAATGTCCTGAAAATATGCGCTCTCTCTTCCTCTTCAGAAATCAAAAGTTTTAGTGAGAGCAAGCAGTCAGAGAGAGGACCCAACGTACGTCTATATAGAAAGGGACCCCAAATCCAATTGACCTCAATATTTTTATTCGTTACAGTCACTTTTTCGATAAACCCGAATGAATTGGATCTTCATGATAATTTCAAATCACCTTGAAATTTATACCAATTTAACT